ACCTGACTTCTCTGGGCCTCAGTTTCCTTATCTGTGAAGTAGGTTGCCAAGGGTACCTAGAACAGCACATAAGTCTCATCAGTGTGGCTATTTTGATTCGAGTCCTTAAAACCCTCTCTGGAAGTAGGCCACAGGATCCACCTACACTTCAGAGGCAAAGAAATGATGTTGAGGAAAGCTAAATGGACATTCCAAGGTGATGCACTGGCTGAGTGAATTGTGCTGGGTGGTTGGCAAAGCCAGGCATTTTCAGGGGCTTTTCTGTGATCTTATCCTGTCTCTTAAAAGCAGCTGGTACTCCTGACTCCCTACTCCAAGTTATGCCAAACAGAGGTGGGGGCTTAGACAGTGAGACAGACCTTTGTCCTCTTGCCCTGGAGCTAGGCAAGTTTCTGTATGGTGTTTGCATCCCCCTGCCTGCAGGGGGCCACAGGGTGTCACTCAGTCACCTTGGCCAGCACCACTTAGAACGCATCTGTACAGAACCTCGCTCCTGCCTCCTGACTCCTGCCTTCACCTTCCCCACCTGCCCCTCAAAGAGGCCTCCACAGGACCTGGGGGCCTGCGCTCTGCGGAGGTCCTGGTGGCGCTGCCTGGCTGTTCCCTCCCCAGCCCCACCCTGAGCCGACAGCTCACTGCTTCCTCCTCTCCCCTCACAGGAGCCTCCTCCTCAGACCCTGTTCTTGGCCTTCCATCCTCTCCCCACGGCTGATGGTCCCTCCAAGGCCGACTCCTAAGGAATCACCATCACCCTCCTTTCTATTCTGGGGGCTTCTGAGAGAGCCCAGCCTGATGCCAGGACAAAGGACAGAGAATTTAAGCACAGAAATCCCAGACCTGTTGTTCTCTCCATCCAGCGTGACCAGGGCCCAAGAGACCTGAGGTCCAGGGTGGGGTGTCCAGCGCCAGCCAAGCCGCGGCTCCAGCACGCCTCCCTAGAGCTCCCCGCACTGACGGGGCTGCAGGAGCAGGGGCAGTGGCACCCACACCAGCTCTGCAGTGATGCGGGCGGGAGGGAGATGAGAAGACCCTGCAGTCAAGTGGAGCATGGCTCTCCCTGGCTCCCTGCCCCTGAGCCCAGCACGACCACACAGGGAATTCTGACGACAAGAGAACAGGCCACGGGCATCACAAATGCCCTGCTCCTCTCCCCAGCCCCTGCTCTTTCCAAGAGCTGCCCGCAAATCAGACATACCTCTGTGGCTCTCCTCTGGTTCATGTTTACAGAGCTTAAGGCTGTCTTTGATCCCAATAGGCACCCAGCCCTGCATGGGGAGAGCCCAGGGCCTAATAGGCACCCCCTGTACCTCAGGCTATGGTGGGAGCAGACTCCCTTCCTCTGGCCCCTCTTCCCTCACGCCTTCTCCTCCAGCACTGGCAAGGGATTGGGCTCTAGAGCCAGCACAGGTCACTGCCTGACCTGGACTAAGAACCCCACGGCACCTCTGTCCACACACTGCCTCCCCACCGCCCACCTGGGCTGCTAGGCCCCTCACTTGGAATGGGCTGGGGAGGGAAGGCGCCTTTTACTGCAGCTCTTCAGAGCCACAGACCTCAGGGTGGAGTGAGCCCACGGTGGGCAGTGGGCAAGGCAGTGGGTGACAGGCAAGGCGGGACCTCCTGCAGCTTGGAAAGAAGAGGCAGGCCAAGGCCCTTCCCTAACTCCAGCTCCCTCCTGCCCCTGGTCTGAAGAGGAGGGCTCTGGAGTAGCAGAGGGACTGAAGAAAAGGGGACAGGGGCTGGTAGGACATTGAGCAGGAGGAGGCCAGAGCACACTGCTTCGGAAATTACTCAACACAAACAAGGGAAAGAAAATGTCACTTCCCCTAAGTTGGGAGAATGCAAAGCTACCCCGCCTCATGTCCGGCTGCCCACTTTCCACCCTAGAGAAAGAACAGAGTGCCTCACCCCCTCCCCAGGTCTCCAGGGCCTCTGGAGAGGGCCTGGGCTCCCCCTAGCCCAGCTGGGCTCTCTGGTGGTGGTCTGGCTCATTCTCCCGCAAGTTGGAAGCACAATTTCCCCCCCAAGTGGAGGAAAAGGAAAGGGCCCCAGCCTACTGAAGAGGTGTTTATTCTTTAACTAACAGCCTCCCACTCTATTAAGACTGATCAGGACAGGTCTGAGGGCCATTCAGAACCCACACCTCAGTGGGCAGGTGAGTGGGGCTCAGTCCAGAGACCTAACATTCAGAATACAGCATTGGCTGCCTATTTTGAGATGGATTTAACCTCCCACAGTGTTCATGAGACCATCTGATGGAATCAGATCTCTGAGCCCACCTCTTACACCCTGGATGCCATTTTGGAAACCAAGCCCTTGGAAGCAAGTGGGGTAGCATGTGAGAAGGGAGGAGGTTCACAGGGGGTGAACTTAGGTATGGGCACTCTCCTGCCTCACTCACGGAAGCCAGCCCTGAGTGCTGAGGTCAGCTTGGCTGGTCTGAGGCCACCTTCTTAGCCAAAAACCCAGGTTTCATTTTCAGGAAATTGATAATGAACAATAAAATGGGGGGACTTCTTTCAGCAGATGCTAGGTCAGATGTTTTCACCTAATATCCTCTTTTAGCTGCATGTATATTTATTTATAATTATAACCCTGGTGGACTGCAGCCTTCATCTTTGTTGGGAATGAGTTTGTGACAAATCAGAAATGGGTCCATCATGACGATTGTTTTCCAAACCCAGTCAGTTCCCTGTTCCCTTGCTGGCAAGCCCCACCACAAAGGAGTGAGGCCAGTGACTAGGAGTTCCAAGAACAGAGGCTGGGGTGAGGGTGGCACCCAGGCAGCTGCATCTGGTCTGTTTTAATTTAACTGTATTTAATTTGCTTTCAAAATTAAAAGTCAAATACAGTTTTTAACAGTCCTAATCCTCTTCAGCCCTGCCTTATTTTATTCTCATTTGTTAATTTAGCTACCCAACAAGTATTTATCAGATGCCTGTTAGAAGCAGGCATAATTCTAGGAGCCGGCACACAGCAATGAAAAAGACGGCTCCTGTCTTCACAGAACTGAGCCACTGATGAGAGGAGACAAATGCATGGTATTTCAGATGCAATCTGTTGTATGGAGAATGACGCTGAGTTGGGGAGACAGAGGGTAGCAGTGGAGAAGGGTCAGTGACCAGAAAGGCCTCCCTGATAAGGTGACGTCTGAGCAAAGCAGCAAATCCTGACATGCAGCTCCCTGGGTCCAAGGAGAAAGAACTCTCCAGCAGGTGGAACAAAGGCTGCTCAGCCTGCTTATAGAGCAGCAGAAAGACCACCTGGCTCAGCTGACTGGGCAGGCGCTGCTGGGGCAAACAGCAGTGAGGGATGAGGTGGCATGGGAGCAGGGAGTCCCCAGGCACCAGGTGAAACCAGAAGGCAATGGGGGGTCTAGCATAGAGGACTAACAATCTATCCACCTCTCAGAAGAGCTGCCCTGCTACTGCGCAGAGGAGAAATTGAGAGGGCAAGGGCAGGTGGAGGCATGGCTCCTGCAATCATCCAGGCCAAGATGCTGTGGGCTGAATGGGGGCATAGGGGTTGGGGCAGAGAGAAGCGGTCAAATTCTAGCCGAGTTTAGGAGGCAGAGCCAGTAGGATCTGCCTCTGGATTGGATGTGGGAGATAAAGAGAGGCGCCCAAAATAGCCTGAGAAACGGAACAGCACTGCCGTTTCCGGATAGGAGGCTGCGTGCAGGAGGGGTAACATGGGGAACTGGAGCTCTGTGTCAGGTGCCTGTTAGACACATGCAGAAGAAAGGTGCAAAAAAGCCTCCCACATGCCTGGAGCTCAGGTGCAGGCCAGCATCAGCTGGTGTGAGTGTTGAGCCTACTTCCAGGTGTCAGGTGAGACTTTGTGCAGTGAATGTGGACAGAGGAAAGAAACAGTCCAAGGAGTGAGCCAAAGACCCCCAGCAATCAGAGGCTGGGGTGTGAAGAGGGGTCCTCCAAAGAGGCTTAGATGAGGCCTTACCATGTGGAAGATATGGACAAATCCTTAGTTAACAGAGGGGAGTAAGTTCTGCCAAGAGGTACTTTGATAGAGAAGCGGAGGAGTTAACTGGCGGAAGAGAAGGGCAAGAATAAGATGCTGGCGCAAGACAACCTCACCTTTGGAAACAGCAGTGTGTCCTGCTCAGGTCTGCATGGAGGTGTGATCCAAGAGGCACTTTACAGGAGGATTTGCAAGAAGATTCCTTTCCATTCCAGTTCCATCACTTTCTCACAGAACACAGCTCATACGCAGCTTTGCAGAAGCACACACTCAGGTAAAGTGGGGCAGACGACCTGCGCCCAGCTCAGGCCACACCCACGTACTCCTCGTCTCATCCACACCTTAACCCCAGGCTTGCCGTTCCAAGGCAGTTCCAGAAGAACCGGTGAGTTTGGGCAAAACTGGAGACCCTGCCCCATTTTGTTCCTTTTAATAAGCTTCATTTAATAAGCCCTTGACCCAGCTCAGCTGCAGGACTGCACACCATGAATGTCCCCTGCACCGCCCCCTGGGCAGCCACACTCGGGCAGCAAGCCTGCTGGCCTCAGTGAGCTCCACCGCCCACCATTCCCCAGCCCACCTTCATGGGGCTCAGAGCTCTCACTGTGCCGGGGATGTGTGTGCTACATGACTTTTTGACTGTTATTGGAGATTATTTGCTTTTGGCAGTAGATGCCAGATGTAGTTTGTGAAGCAAAACTCAGCCCCAGACTTAACTCCTATATGGTGCCCCTGGCTGCCTGGCAGATTCTTACCCCCGCCCACCAGCATGAGAACGAATTTGCATTTGACCTGTCCTCTCCAGGACACTTCCAATCCAGCAACATTTGAAGGGGAGATGGGGTCAGGAGGAGAGTATGAGGCCAGGATCAGGGCCCACTCATCCCACAGATGGTCCAAGTCTGGACCCCTGGGCAGCAGTGGGGCCCAATGGGAACCTGACAGAGAAAACAAAACTCATCTTCCAGACAGCCTTCCCCTCTGGCAAGAGTGGCACACGTGACCACTATCAGAAGAGGGGGTGTGATTCAACACTGTCGCTTTACTGCAACTCAGGACAGCGAGCCCACGCCAGCTGTTGGGCTGAGCCCCAGAACAAGACTCAGATGCAGATGTGGACACATTTGGAAGGAGGGCTGCTCTGCCCTGCTGCTCAGGTTTGGGGCTTCGGGGCAGAGGCCACTGAGCTGGGCCTTCTGTCCCTCCTCCCTGAATGTGCAGATATGGGCCATGGCTTCTGCCGGGACCCACACGTCCTCCTCAATGAGCAGCAAAGACACTGATTAACACAGGAAGACACAGGCCTGATGATTTGTTTCTCCAGCCCAGCCTGTCACCCTGTGGGAAGCAGCGAGTGGGAAGGGAAAAGGGAAGTCACATGTTTCTCACAGAGTTCCTTCCAGAATCCCAAAGAAGGCTCAGAAGGTTGTGAAGGAAGAACAAAGTCAGCTCAGGTGAGACACCCCCTCCCCACCCTCTCCACTGGTGACACACCCACGGTTTTGGGGATAAAAGGGACCATGAGGGATGTGGCCAAGCCTCCCAAGAACCAGCAAAGAGCACACCTGAATCCAGCAGACACTCGAGGGCTGTGATTTCCAGGGTAGGGGCATGTTTCAGCACCTTTCCTGAGGCCAAAGGCTTGGCGATCTGATCAGCCGCTCCCACCCTAGAGACAGCCCAGCAGCCTTGGCAGAAGAGCAGGGCTATGGGAAATGCATCATCAACACAGCCAGGCCCAGAGCCACCTTTCCCTGCAGGCTCAGGGTTTTGAGCAGAGGCAGGGCAGACTGTAGCACCCTGTCCCTGAGGCTGCTACTGAAGGAGACACTTTTGCAGGAGAGGGATGAGGCAGCAGCTACCAGGATTCAAGTCTGGAGGAGGTGGCAGTCTCCCACAGGCACCAGCAGAAGGGGGCGCAGCTGCTCACTTAATGTACTGGTTCCTGCCCAGGTGGGGGCTTTCTGTGAACTGTAACGCAGGGCCCGCCATCATCTCCTCAAAAACGATAACCTGCGGAGAGAGGGCCCTGATGGGAGGGCAACTGAGGTCTGTCCTGGAGCCAGGGGAGGTGCTGGGAGGCGGCAGGTCGGAAGGAAAGGGTTTGGGAACCAGGCTGGAAGGGACAGGGACCAAACAACTCGTCTGCAGAGAGGAGGAGGGAGGAAGAACCTGGCTGACACCTCTGCATCCCCGCCACCCTGACCAAAGGCTCCCTGGGAGGGCAGCTGGGCGGGGCATCTTAGGGAATGGGAAGGGGCTGGAAGCTCCCACCTGGTTGATTCCGCTGCTCAACCAGGGACCTGGGAGGTACAGCGTCTTCTGGGGTCCAATGTTCCAGTAACGTCCAAGGTTCTGGCCATTGATGAATACAACCCCCTTCTCCCAGCCCTTGAGACAGAGGGAAGGGTGTTCATCTACCACGAGAGCCACAGCAAAAGTGAAGGCAGACACACACCAGGCGTGCTTATCTCGGGTCCAAGAAACCAAAGCAAGCCAGTGTCTGAACAGCCATGAGGGCGAGCAGGTGGGATGCTCTGTTTGCGTTCCCCCAGTGCCTCCTCCCAGGCATGTCCCCCAAGCTCAGACTGCATGTGGGAAGCATCAGGTGGTTCTTCTGCTGTGAGCCCACTCCCCAGGCCCAGGAAGGCCCCAGTGCCCTCTCAGACCCTCTGGGCACAGGAGCCACCAAGGGCTAACACCAAGCTCATGTGGCTTTGGCTCAGAGACCTCTGAGATGAGAGGAAGGTGGGAGAATCTGGCAGAGAAAGAGGGCTACCAACCTCCAGCTTCAGAAAGGTGTCACAAGGAGTGGAGGTGATGGACAAGCTACTCAAGAAGAAAGCAGGAAAGGTGGGTGTTTCTGGGAGGGAACTCCATTTGTCCGGGCCGAACCTAAGGACAGAATGAGAGGCAGGAGAAGGAGGAGGCCCTTCCTCAGATCTGGTCCCAGTCCTGCAGCTAATTCCCCATCCAATGCTGCCCACCTCTTAACCAGGACACAGAACGACAGCAGGGTAAGATGCTGAGAATTCCTAGTCTGCAAACGAGGCTTCCAGTGCAGATGCCACCCCTCACCTTGGGCCAGCTGATCTGGCCCCTGGGTGCATTCACACCTGGGTGAGGGCCAGGCCACAGTGCCCTATGAACCCCTGGGCCCCACTGCACAGTGCTGTACCTATGAGAGCACGTGCTGGCGCTGGGCAGGGACCCACCTCTGAAAGAAGCTCTTCTTCATATCCAGGCTGTAGATTCTGAATTTTTTCAGAGGTGAATCATTCAGATAGAGATTTCCAATTAAGCCTGTGGGAGGAAGGCAGGACATGTGGGTAGTCCAAAGGCAGGGGCTGGGTCAGCCGGACCAGGGCCATGAGGAGAGGCCCTGGGAAGCTGGGGTGAGGAGTGCGGAAGTGTACACTCCCGGAGGAGCTGTTTGCTTGCAAGCAAGGCTGCCTAGCAACTCTACGGGGAATGGGACGGAGGAAGACCCTTGGTTTTGCCATGGGAAGGATATAGAGCTGAGGTGTTACAGGGCAAGAACAGCCTCTGGCCTCTCTCCGAAGGAACCCAAGAGGGTTCTGGCCTAGCTGCAGGGCCAGTTTCAGTGGGGTCCAGGCTACACAGACTGAGTAACTCAGGCAGAAGTCATCTGTGCCACCAAGGATTAAAGCTGTGCTTTAGGAGTATCTGGACTGTGGTCGGATGACACCCTCACTCAGGCATCCAGCAGGGAGAAGCTGTGACCCCTTGAGGAGCCACTCATTGGTCTCCGGGGCCTGGCCAGTGCTGCCAGTCTCAGATCTCAGAGCTGCTGAGTGGCCAGTGTGGGAATTTGGAGGCTTGGGACTGTGGAGAGGCCTCATGGGGCCTACAGACTCTGAAGCGGCAGGAGCAGGTGTATGTGGGCACACACATTTCTCAAGGGAGGTCTGTGACTTATAAACATTGAACTGTGATCCAGAAGACAGGCCTCTACAATGGGGGCTCAGGGGACCCTCATCGAGGGGTCAGGGAAGCAAAGACAGGAACAACAGTTAGGCTGGTGCTCCTTCCAACTCCCAGGAGAACAATGGAAGTGGGGACTGGCCCAGGGAAGGAGCTGCTGAGGGAAAAGGAGTGTGGGTCTGGATGGTGCTGGATGCTGCTCTGAGGCCTGTCTGGAGGGGCCCTGATCCCCAGGACCCAGGCCCTAGTGTCTGGGCCATTTCGCTTTCCTGGCAGGCCACCAGATGGCTCTCGGATGAAATGCGGACCAAGAAGAGCTCTTCAAGTTTCATCCACTACACACACAGACACCTCGAGAGAACGCGGAGGTCACCAGTGCTGCTCACCACAGTCGCATTCATTTTTTTATAACTTACCTGAAACCACCCACATTTAGCTAGAGCTTTTTTAAAGGAAGGGCTAAATTAAAGCATGAAAGATATAGTAGGCTGGGAAACCTACAGCAAATTGGCAGCCATTCCCAGAGGGGCGTGCTGCCGAGAGGCGCTTTGTCTGCTGTATGACCCGCATCCTTCTCCCCCAGCACTTGAGATAAGCTATGGATTTCCCAAGATGGATCAAGAAGAGAAATCAGTGTGGAGGCCCAAGAAGGCAGGGGTCTTGTGCCTTTCCTTGGATTCCTGGAAATCCCATTCATTGCTCCTTACTGCCATCCCCCAAACAGACATCCTTGTGGAAACCGACTGCAGCCCAGGAGAGACAAGAGGCCAGCCCAGTGTTCACCGTGTTTATATCACGAGCACACAGACGATACACACGTGCAGTGCTCACGGGGCTGTCATCTTCCAGATAGCCCCAGCAGGGCTTCGGTGGCCCACTCAGAACTGGCCTCATATATGGGACAACCCAGCCTCTACCTCTCTGCAAGGGGCCTCCATGGCCTGGTGGCATGCTAGCATGGAGAAGCAACAGCCACCTACGTGCCCAGCACATCTGCTCTTCTTTCAACATGTGCTGAGACCCACCTTTGCGCTGGTCATCAATATTCTCCCCGTAGTTGACTCGCCCGCGATTCTCCACCAAGATTCTTAGCACGGTATAACCCTGCTGGGAACAGGGGGCCAACGATGACCTCCAGAAGGCCACAGCTGCCCCTCAGAATTTGCCCATGAGCCCCAGTTCTTCCGTACACTCTGGGGATAGGAGTGCACATCCCAGCTGGGCAGAAAGCCACACTCACTCTCTCTACCTGCTGCTTGTGGGTAAGAAGCCATGGGTCTCTAGGTCTTCCTCAGTGACTCCCCCCAGGCTTCCTCGAAGCAGCAGGGGCTAGTCATCACCCAGCTCCCAAAGACAACAAACCTGGATCAGGGGGACAGCGATTTTGGTTGTCTTGTAGTCCAAGAATCCTATGGATACTGTGTTCACAAACACCTGTCAAAGGGAACAGATGGGAGCATCCATGGCCAACAGGAGGAGGGTAAGCGGGACCTCCACTAGGCCAAGGGCAGCACTGTGTGCCTGTGGGCAGACGAGGGGCCAGGAGGCAGAGCAGAAATGAATGCCCCTGTGAAGATTCGCGGAGCTGACTTGGACGGGCCATTTTTACACACTGGCAATAGCTGATTCTGCGGGGAGGGCATGAGATGCGTATTGCAGGGCTGCTCACTAGAAGGTCACAGGAATTTAGAAGAGAAGTTGCTACCTGTCCCCGATCACGCACGCGGCCACTGAGGATGCCGGACGAAGCGATGTTGGTCTCATAGAGAATGTACCCAAAGGACTGTCCATTTCCCCCATTGACAGGCAGGTTCTCCATATTGATGGGCTTTTCAGATTTGATTGGCTGCGTACAGAGGAGACAGAGGAGCAGGCAGGCTGAGGAGAAGTGGGGTCACAGACAGACTGCCTGGGAGCTGGCACATGGGGTGGAAGGAGGGGTTTGGCAGGAGCTTTCTATTTTGACTTCTAATTACACTGAACCTACAACTCTCCAGGGCGACAGAGAAGAGGGCGGGACAAAGGGGTGTGCACCAGCAGAGTGCAGCCTGCAGGCGGGGGACACTCATCACAGCCCCCCTCAGTCCGATGGAGGAGGCACCCTCTTTTCAAGGAGGGGGGGCCTGTTCCTCTTCCCCTCACTCTCCTCTCTGAGGCTGTAGGAAGGAAAAGCCCACTGGGCCACCCACTGTCCCTCAAGGGCCTTTGTTTCTCCCCACGCCACACTCCAGCATGAGTTTGTCCTTTTCACTCTGAGCTCCAAGGCTGGAGAGCAGACCTCAGAGCCATCAGGCACCGGCCTTTCTCTCCCACACCCCCTGTCTGGAGGGGTTCTGGGCCGTGCTGCCCCCACAACTGCCCCCAGCACTCACCTCCCCCATGTACTTGAGGGCGTCCCATAGGGACAGGTACAAGACTGGCGTTATGGGCTCATGTGACATCTTGGGAATAAGGTCAGGTGGGGGAGGCAGAGGGATGCCTGCAACACACAGATAACAGGGTCAACCCAAGGAACCCAAATGTCACCACCCGCTCGTCCTCCCCACCCAGCTCCCATCCACAGGCCCAACGTGCTGCTGCATCCCAGCACCAAAAGGAAAAACTCTCAGTACCCGCTTCCTCCCACTGGCCAAGGCCAAGGGAGGAAGACCAGGCCTGGGGGCAGGCTGGGGGCATTCTCCCATCCTCCATAGGAGATAAGGAGCCTTAACACCTGTAACAGGTGAAGCTGGCAAGATAAAGACTATGATGGAAGCAGCCTCACACACCTCCCTGTCCTTGTCCAGGACATTCTTCCACACAGATGAACTAGGGTGGAGGTGGGACAGTAAGGAACTCTTTAGGGGTCTGAGAGCAAAAGCGAGGCCTGAGTTGGCACTTGACTCTGCTGCTGCTGGGTACCTGAAATGGAGCCAAAGAAGTCTCGAAGCTTCATGTACTTGGCCGTGTAATCTCCAGCTTCTGTCAGCACAGCGTCATAGTCTGCAAGACACCGGGCCCCATCATGGTCATTCCTGTCCCCAGCAAAGCACATGTGGCAGCATGAAGAACAGGGAAAAGCTCAGGGGGGCAGTAGGTCTTGATCTCAGCCATTGGGGAGGCAAAAAACTTTTGAGCCATTCAGACAAAATACTGCAGACACAAAAAACCATGCATCTACAAGTGTCCATCAGGCCAGGTGCAGTGGCTCACACCTGTAATCCCAGCACTTTGGGAGGCCAAGGCAGGAGGATCACTTGAGACCAGCCTGGGCAACACAGCAAGACCCCATCTCTAGACAAAATTTTAAAAATTAGCCAGGGGTTGGCTGCATACTTGAGGTCCCAGCCACTCAGGAGGCTGAAGCAGGAGAATTGCTTGAGCCCAGGTGTTTGAGGCTGCAGTGAGCGAGGATCACACTACTGCACTCCAGGCTGGGTGACTGTGTGAGACTCTCACAAATTCAAAAAACACAAACTGTCCATGATCACAGTATGGCCCTAAATTTCTAGCTGCAGGTATAATTTCTACTTTCTGGGACTCTCATAGGGAGCAGGATCACACCTCCTCAAGGGCCTGGGCAGGGAGGGCCCCCCTGACACTGTCCCTCCCTGTCACCGTAAGGGGTCCTATTTCCACTTCCTCTGGCCAACCTCTGCCAAAGAGGCCTCTCTGCAGAGTGGCCTGCTCACAGGAACACCACCTGGCTTGAGGCTGTCCTCCCCTGGAAGTGCAATATGACCGTCCAGGCAAAGCCCCCACCTTCTCCAGGTACTCTATTGCCAAAGACACTGAAGGTGCCAGAAGTTGACCCTGAGGGCCTCTCCACAGCAAGCCCCAGCCATGCCCATGCAGGGCAGACCAGGGAAGGCAGTGTTGACCCTGAGGGCCTCTCCACAGCAAGCCCCAGCCATGCCCATGCAGGGCAGACCAGGGAAGGCAGTGTTGACCCTGAGGGCCTCTCCACAGCAAGCCCCAGCCATGCCCATGCAGGGCAGACCAGGGAAGGCAGTGTTGACCCTGAGGGCCTCTCCACAGCAAGCCCCAGCCATGCCCATGCAGGGCAGACCAGGGAAGGCAGTGTTGACCCTGAGGGCCTCTCCACAGCAAGCCCCAGCCATGCCCATGCAGGGCAGACCAGGGAAGGCAGTGTTGACCCTGAGGGCCTCTCCACAGCAAGCCCCAGCCATGCCCATGCAGGGCAGACCAGGGAAGGCAGTGTTGACCCTGGGGGCCTCTCCACAGCAAGTCCCAGCCATGCCCATGCAGGGCAGACCAGGGAAGGCAGAAGTTGACCCTGAGGGCCTCTCCACAGCAAGCCCCAGCCATGCCCATGCAGGGCAGACCAGGGAAGGCAGTGTTGATGAATACTTGCCGTAGCTGGTGACATCTGACTTGTAGTCATGGAAGTGCATGGCTCCATTCATGAAGCCAAAGTTGGTGCCTCCATGGAACATGTAGAGGTTGATGGAGGAGCCGGCATCCACAATGGCAGACACTGTTTTTAAAACCTCTGCCAGAAGAGGGAGAAAGGGGATGCGCAGAGTGACTTAAAGTCCTAGACGAGCCGGGTTCCCTTCACTACTCTCCTCTTTCCCAGTCCCACCTCAAGGCCAGCCTTGTCACTCTGTCATTCTAGCTCTCACTAAAACCCCAATCACAGAAGATTAGGGGTGGAGGAAGTGTGGGCCAGAATCATGGCCCCAGAGCTCCAGTCTCCAGTTGTTTGTAAATCCTGGTCAAGTCTCCGAGCTCCATGCAGACCACCTGCAGCCCAGGCTGGCCAGGGCCTTCCAGCCAGCACGATCTCACCAGGTGAATCTGCCTGACCAAGTGTCTCAAATGCACAAAGATGGGACACATCCCTAGAGAGAAAACTCTGATACCTCCCCCTTCTACCTTTGTTAGGAAGTAAACCATGACATGACAAGATCATAGCAAAGGAGAAAATGAATGGTTGATAAATATATATTTTATTAATATAAATCAAAGAAACACAGACTAAAATGATGTGCTGGGTAGACAAATATTAAAAGTTATTTTAATACGCAGAGTTGCTGAATCTGTGGGAAATGGGTGTGCTCATTCAGCAGCACCGGTGGAAGCGGCCACCGACTTTCTGGGGACTGAGGGATGACCGTGTGCATCAGCAGGGCCCTGAGGCTGCGCCGCTCACCACAGGGAAAGCCAGGTGCGCAGAGCGCAGGCTCCGGGATGCTCACGCAGATGGCGGCTTCACGGAACCACTGGGAATGACCCGAGCGACTGGGTCCTCAAAGCGTGTTTTAGACTGGGGTTCTTCACATGCTTTTTTTTTTTTTTTTTTGAGATCGAGTTTCGCTTTTGTTACCCAGGCTGGAGTGCAATGGCGCGATCTCGGCTCACCGCAACGGCCGCCTCCTGGGTTCAGGCAATTCTCCTGCCTCAGCCTCCTGAGTAGCTGGGATTACAGGCACGTGCCACCATGCCCAGCTAATTTTTTGTATCTTTAGTAGAGACGGGGTTTTACCATTTTGACCAGGATGGTCTCGATCTCTTGACCTCGTGATCCACCCGCCTCGGCCTCCCAAAGTGCTGGGATTACAGGCTTGAGCCACCGTGCCCGGCCTCTTCACATGCTTTAGAACAGTGATGTCAATCTGTATTTGGTCATATAGAAAGCTCTCAGTACGTGCATTAACTAGCACAAGCAGGTGACACCGTGTGAGTGCATCTGTCTTTGTGTGTGCGTACAGAGCTGTCTGTAGAGATATATAAATAACTGCCTGCATGGGATACATCTAAATGTTTTCTCTGGGCTCCGGGATTTTTATTTCTTCTCTATCCTTTTTCTGTATTTTCCGGATGTTTCCAATAAGCATGCATTACTCTTCTAATTACAAAAACATGAACAAGCAATGTTAAAAGCCTTCCTGTTCATCAAAGTGTCAAGACAAATGACTCAGGAATATCCAGTCAATTTCTGCACGCAGATAATCCCAGCAGTCTTGCACCCCCTATGGCTGACTTACATCAGTTAGCAGGTGACTAAGAAACCCATCCTCACTTCTTAAGCAGCACACATGCTGGATGTAGTACTGCAAGCACTCACCAGAAGAATCCAAGATATTGTGAGGGCCTCCCCACGAGTCAAACCACCCCGTCCAGTACTCCATCACCATCTTGGGCTGAGTCCCCTGGACACCACAAAATGAGAGTTAGACAAGCAGCCTGGCCAGACAAAAAAGAGGGAAGCGCTTCATGGAGGGGAGCCCCAGGATCTCTGCAGTCTCCACTCTCCCCTGGCTGCATATCTACTGCCTAGAGGCCTTTGGAGGTGGGACAGTGGTGAGGGCCAAATTCACCTGCACACCACCTGCTCTCCTGTCACATGTGGACTCCACACCAGAAGGTATAGAGCCAAAAACCTCCCAAAGTCAATATGGCAAACCCTGATGGTTTTCATGCTGCAATCGTGCTAGCAAGAAGACACCAGTTTGCTTTCTGGATCAAGCCAAGCTTTGCCTGTCCGCTTCCGGGAAGGGGGATGTTCTACCCAGGGCAGCTCCATATCTGAGAGGGACATGTGGACGCGGTCCCCCTGGGTACTCCCTTCATTAGCAGAATAATCAGATGCTCTAAAGTGGGCCCTCTTCAAGGTCCAGCTTAGTTTAAACAGCAGTTTGCAGCATTTTCTGGTCAGAAAATCAGGGTCTTACAGCGCAGCCATTCACAGTGCAGGTTCTGCAGCCAGTATAAAGTTTGGATTTATACCCTGGCTAGGTCACTCAACAAATCTTAAATCTTCTTTCTGAATACTGACTTTGGCATAGGACTGCCCCAAGGAGGTCAAGATCATTCCTGGGATCATGCTCCACTCTGCATGTTTGCAGAAACCCAGAGCACCTGGGGGAGGTGTAAAGACTAACACGCTAGTATTTCAGGCTCTGTGCAAGACAGCCTTCCTCACTCATTCAGTGACAGTTAAGTATTCTCTACATCAGTGATGGCCTTAAGTTCAGAGGGCAACTGCATACACAGGGGACGGGACACACTTATAGTCTGTTGAGTAGAAGGGACCAGCCATACCCAGCTTAAAGCCAAAGTAGTTACAAGAATTTTTTTAGCAAGACTGGCAGCTTGGTTTTCTTTACAAGCCACCTACCTCCCAAGAAGAGACACACTGCACCATGTTTAAGCCACTAAAAAGGGAGAAGCGGATTCGAAGTCCCGCAAGTCAGAAATCTCCCATGCCAGAAGCGAGCTGGTTGGTGTGGGGGTATCAGGGCTGAGAAGGTGGGTGTCCACGCATGGGCCAGGCCACCATACTGCACAACTGGCTAAGAGCTGGAGCCCTGCAGGGAGACTGCAGTTCCCAAGCCACTCCTTACAGGGTGCCTCATGCACTCTCTGGCTGTCTCCTTCACTAGCTTATATGACTAAGGAGAATTAAATGAGAGAGTGCACATAATGCCCTTAGCACACTGCGCCTGGCAGGTAGGAAGTGCTCAAGAAACACTTGCATAGTTCTCCCCATCATGAGTTGTGGACGCAGAGGACAAGTGAGGTGCTACTGGACATCGCCACTTGGAGCACACGTGGGGCCTGCACTGTGCATTCAGAGAGCCATTGATTTAGACAAAGAGGTGTCCAAGTCCCCTTCCTTAAGGAGAGAAGACATCTTAAAGTGCTTCAGCAGGGCCATTCTGTTAGCAGGACAGCCAGCCTGGGAAGGCTGGGGCATGGCTACCTCTCTAAGCATGACCTTGCAGGCTAAACATAAGGCATTCTGGTGTATCAGCTGCTGTGCTGGGTGCTTTCCAAATATTACCTCATGTAATCTTCAGACAACCCTGTGACTTGACACCATAAAGTGATGGACTATGATCATTCCCACTTAGAAGAAGAAAGAGATGCACAGAGAGGTTAAGTAACTTGCCCAAGGTCACAAAGCACAGGGTGCGAGATCCAGTCATCTTAGTCACAAGTGTGAGAGGCCCCCCTACCCCACTGCATACACGGGCAGGCACTCAGGAAATGCCAAGGAAGGAAGGCCAGGACCCTGCTGGATCTTGCCTGAGCCGCCTCACAGGAGCCCACCTGGGAGTGGGGCCAGCCCTCCCATTTCCACCTGGGAGCCTCCCACCCACTCTGGCATCTGCACTCTAGGAGGAGCCACAGCAAACACACGTGCGGCCCCACACAGCCATGGTGCCTCCACACAGATGTGCCTGAGGATGCAGCCCTGCTCTGAAAGACCATCGGCTGGAATGGAAAGCAGCCCAGCATCTCCACAGGCATCCATGCCTGTCCATCCAAGCACAGCTCCACTCCAGGCCCAGGACCAGTGTGACCATGCAGCAGGGGGACAGTCCGGGGCGTTCCCACCACTCAGTGAGCCAGGGGAAAGCCAGGGCCTCTCAGCTCTGCAGAGGGCTACAGCTTGGCCCCAGTCCATCCATCTCCTTCTGAGGGGCACATGAGCTCAAGAGAGGTCAGAATGGGAGTGCGGTGTAAATGCTTATCAGTCTGACAGATGTTGAGGGACATCTGGAAACTCCTCCCTCTCTCTGGACCTAGAGTGGACCATGCTTTCTGCCTTGCTGATGATGCTGATCTTTCTAGGACTGCAGGGGTCTCACAGGTTAAGGTTAGATGTCTTATGTAGTATAGGACAGGGAAATTTTTCTTTCCCACTCAATCCCTGGGAGCAAGTCTAGAGCTAGTTGAGGCGACAAAAGTCGAGTCCTCTAGGAATGCACCAAAAGGGTCCCTCTCTTGGGGCAGTGGGTGCCATCTGCACTGCGTCAGCCTACACAGTAGCCCTCGGAGCTGTTTGTGGGCAGCGGGCATCACTGGCACACAGAGGAATGGGCGGGTGGCCGAGAGGCCAACAGCTCTGAGTTTGGCTCCCCACGCTGGGGAAGCTGAGCATACTGGCCAGCACTCAAAACTCCTGCAGGCCGCTGAGCAGGGCAGGTGGCAGTTTCCCTAGGGCTGGACTTACCTGGACATTGAAGAGAAAGGTAGTCAGTAGCTGTAGCTCGTGTGTTGACTGCAAGTTGATGGTGGCCAGCACTGTTAAGGGGAAGAGGAGACAGAGACAAAGCATTGCCCCAGAGCCAGGGACCTTCTCAATCCACAAGCACCATAAAGTAACCGGCCTTGACACTGTTTCCCACCTCCAATTAGAAGGCAACCACAGCCAGGCACAGTGGCTCACACCTGTAATCCTAGCACTTTGGGAGGCTGAGACAGGAAGATCACTTGAGGCCAGGAGTTCGAGACCAGCCTGGCCAGCATGGCGAAACCCCATCTCTACTAAAAAACACAAAAAAATTAGCCAGGCTTGGTGGTGCATGCATGTAATTTCAGCAACTCGGGAGGCTGAGGTGGGAGGATCACTTGAACCCAGGAGGCGGAAGTTGCAGTGAACTGAAATCATGTCACTGCACCCTAGTCTGGGTAACAAAGTGAGACTCTGTCTCACAAAAATAAGTAAGTCGGCTAGACTTATTTTGTGGTCTTGGAGGTTCTGCCACGCAGCACAGAGCTGAGAGGCAGTCACTTGCTAGGCACCCAACCTTAATCAGCTGTGACTTCTTCTTTTTTTTTTTTAAGGAAGGCAGACTGCCACATGAAGCACCTCATTTGGATGTGCCTGGAGTCCTGAAAGCTTGACTACCCTACGTTCTCCTACAAATGGACCTTGAGAGCTTGTTTGGAGGTTCTAGCAGGGGAGCACAGCTACTCGTATACCCTTGACCAAAGACCGGTCCTCCTCTATTGGGGATGGTCGTCCTCTTCGACTGAGTGCGCAACTTCGGGAAGGACACACATGGAGCGGTGAGGGAGGAAGGGGACATCCGCCTAGCCAGCCAGATCAGCCAAATCAATGCTGGTGATCAATGGGGTGACAGATGTCGCAGCCAGATCGCCCTCACATCTGATCAGCTGTGACTTCTACAAGCTGAGTGTGCACTTCTGTTCCTGTTCTTTTGTAAGAACCAGAACCTGATCCTTCCTTGGCACCCCAAGCACCTAGTCCAGGGTGATGATCTAAAGGAAGACTCCTCTCTGACTTCTTGAGAAGGGCTAATTCTGTATTTGACCCCGTAATACGTTCCTTTTAAAATTTAAAGTGCTGTTTTCAGTGGCTTTCCATCATTGAAACATATGCTCAAGAAATGTGTGCTCTGTTTGGCTGATAGCCAGGGATCCCCGCACCCACCCCAGCAGCACAGCCTGACCCTGGGGCCCCTCACCTGCCTGATGTCTGCCTAATAGTCAGTTCACCCGCATGGCTGTGGCCTGGGCTTCTACAGGCCTAAGCACACACAAGAGAAGCTGACCTGGACTGGCAAGCCGAGCCACCTTGACTCTCTGCTACAGGACATAAACCCCTGATTGCCAGTGAAGAAACGCAAGCGACAGCTGAGGCTCTGTGGAGGTGCAACAATTTGCTTCCAGGTCACAATCATTTGACTCAAGGTAGTCACAGAGCGGGGCTGAACACTGGGACCCCATGACACCAACCCATGGCCCTGCCTGATCACTGCCCTCCAGCAACCCACTGAGTGAGACCCTGCACCCAGGCCCCCCTCCCCTCAAACCAGAAGCCCTTTGAAGACAGGAGGCCACTCTGAAACTGAGTAGACTGAAGTCTCAAAGTCCACAGAATGCACATGGCTAAGTGAACACAAGCATCTCTGTCCTTCCTTCCTGACACCTCACAAATACAAGAGGGGGGGACACGTAGATGGCCACCAGGAACAGGAACAAGAGGAGTCATCGGACCTCCTGGGACACAGAGGACACAGTGACAGTAAACGGTCTAGGAGCACAGAAGAGGTGACAGTCGGCTCCAGCTCTGGTCCAAGGCTTCACCCCACTCACACCAGGCCCAGAGCACCACGAGGTGGCACCCCACCCCCAGCCTGAATCCTTGGTCCCACCTGGGCCCATCCCCTCTGCAGGGGCCATCCTGCCTGAGAATGCTGGGCCCCAGTGTTTGCAGGAGTGGGCGTGTGCGGGGAGGTAGAGGGGAGGGTGGAAGGGGGAAGCAGGCAGTCTCCATAGCACATTCCTGCCTGCTCCTGGCCTGGCCCAGAACAGTGGCAGCAAGAACCCAGGGCTTCTCCGGAAACACTTAACAGTGCTAGACATACCCCAAACACTGATAAGTGAGTGTCTCTTCTTGAAAAAGCCACCATGGCCCAATCACCCCACAGGGAAGAACTGCCAACACTCTCTCCCACACCCAGCGCTCCCGAGTGGCAGCACAGAGCCTCTTTTCTCATCTGATGGGTAAGGGCCTATCCAGAGAATCCCGTTGTGCAGGAGACAGTGGAACAGGCAGCAGGAAGACAGGCAAGCAGCGCCTGGGAAAGAGCACGGGCAGCATCCGGGACAGGAACACCGGCAGCACAGGAGACAGGAACACGGGGAGCACAGGAGACAGGAACATGGGCAGCGCCAGGGACAGGAAAATGGGCAGCACCAGGGACAGGAAAACGAGCAGCACCAGGGACAGGAACACCGGCAGCACAGGAGACAGGAACACGGGGAGCACAGGAGACAGGAACATGGGCAGCGCCAGGGACAGGAAAATGGGCAGCACCAGGGACAGGAAAACGAGCAGCACCAGGGACAGGAACACCGGCAGCACAGGAGACAGGAACACCGGCAGCACAGGAGACAGGAACACGTGCAGCGCAGGAGACAGGAAAACAGGCAGCGCCAGGGACAGGAACACGGGCAGCGCCAGGGACAGGAAAACGGGCAGTGCCAGGGACAGGAAAACGGGCAGCACAGGAGACAGGAACATGGGCAGCGCAGGAGACAGGAACACGGGCAGTGCCAAGGACAGGAACACGGGCAGCGCCAGGGACAGGAACACGGGCAGCGCCAGGGACAGGAAAACGGGCAGCTCCAGGGACAGGAACACGGGGAGCGCAGGAGACAGGAACACGGGCAGCGCAGGAGACAGGAACACGGGCAGCGCAGGAGACAGGAACACGGGCAGCGCAGGAGACAGGAACACGGGCAGCTCAGGAGATAGAAACACGGGCAGCGCAGGAGACAGGAACACGGGCAGTGCAGGAGACAGGAACCCAGGGAGCGCCCAGGACAGGAACACGGGCAGCGCAGGAGACAGGAACACGGGCAGCGCAGGAGATAGAAACACGGGCAGCGCAGGAGACAGGAACCCAGGGAGCGCCCAGGACAGGAACACGGGCAGCGCAGGAGACAGGAACACGGGCAGTGCAGGAGACAGGAACCCAGGGAGCGCCCAGGACAGGAACACCGGCAGCGCAGGAGACAGGAACAGGGGCAGCACGGGGTAGGGTTAGGAAGAATACAGGCAGCTTTTTTTAAAAAAGCCAACTACCCTCGGAGAGAAATAAGAAATGTAGTATCCATTTTTAAAGTATGCTGTGAGAAGAGAAATACATTCAAGAAAAATGTGACCCAGGAAATGAGGGGAGGACTGGAAGATAAAAGTTCAAGAAGTCACTCGGAAAGTAAAATTGAAGAGCAAAGAGATTTAAGAAAGAAAAATAAAAAGATGTAGAGAATCGATACAAGCACTGAATACACAAACACCAGGACGACTGAAAGACCCACGGACAAGAGGGTGGAACACCATCAGAGACACACAGCCCGCCACAGTGAGCATTAACAGTGCAGGCTCGCAGGACCTGCAGCACCACATGAAGAGGAGGGCCGTCTTCCTGAGGAACATGGCAGGAGACAAGAAGGGAGCAGACATAGGAAAGGCTCAGGAACCGGAGTGTCCTGTATTGCAGCAGCAACAGCAGGTGCTGGGAAGTCTTGGAGCAATGCGCGCGGAACTCCAGAAAACAGGATTCCACGCAGGATGCTGCCACGCAGCAGCCCGCCGCCATGCAGGCCGGAACCATGAGAGCAAGGCCTCCAGACAGCCAGATCAGACCCAGCAGAATCAGACAGGTATAGGACCTGAGAAGCACCAGCACAGGTGTCTGGGATGTCTCTGACAAAGCATTTGCTTAAAAGAGAAAGCAGCAGAGGGGTTGAGGGTAGGAAAGAGAATTGAAATGAAAAGAAAAACAAACAATAATTACACAGAAAACTAAGCACACTGCAAAGTGAGTGGGTTGGCACCCGGAGAATTCACAGACACTGCGCAGGGCATCACCCACGTGGCAGGCGCCTTCAGTGAACCGTCCTCACACATCCACGAGGCCCTCACTGGTGCCTCCCAGGACTGAACAGCCACGCTGGCAGGAAAGTGCAGGGAGGGCAGGAAAGAACACCCATCACCCACTGGAACAAGAAGTCAATAGGCAGAATTTTAAAGCAAATGAGGCAGGGTTCTATATGCACAGTATTTAGAATTAAGAAGTGAAATATCCCAAGAAAAAGTCAGACTTGAAAATGGTCATTTCTGGAGAATGTGATGAAGAGCAGGCAACACTGTATTTCTCTAACAACATTTTCTATTATTTCACTTTTAGACCATTTAATTTTTTTAATTAAAAAAAATCATTCCAAGCAGCAGCTGGCACCAGGGGCATGCAGGTGGGTGCCTGGAGGTGGGAGGGCCACAGGGAGAAGCAGTAGAGACTCCTAGCTAGATGCAAGGCCTGTAACTGGGAGACTGCCAAGCACTAAAAACGTGCTCCAGCATCAAAAGGTGTCTCCTACACAGCCACAGCCCCTCCGGAGCCTGGAGCAGGCCTTAGAAGCACGGAAGGGAGACAGTGCCACCACGTGGAAACTTTGGGAATCACCACTGGTCCTCCCCACACCAGAGACACAGGGTCTTCGTCCCTGACTAAACTCACTTTGCCTGGGGACAAAAGCCTTTTCCTCCCCATTCATGGACCTTCACTCCCTAAGTGGCAGCCACATGCCAGGCGCTGCTGTAGGGATATAGAGAGATCTTCCAGGAGCTCGGTCTGTGAAGGGAAATGCAAAAGAAGGAAAAGAAAGCGTGGGATGTGCTAGAGCAGACACAAGCACGATAGCACAAGGCTGCAGGAAGGGTCCTGCTGCAATCGATGGGAGGACGCTACGCTCACCCAGGACACAAATCACGCCTGGGCCCTAGAGCACAGCCAGAGGTGGCTGAAGCTCAAGGCCTGCCAAGAGTACTGCTAGGTGAAACAGATCAGTGAAGTAAACTACCCCGAATGTGAGATCGCAAAATGAAAGCAGGGAGATGGACTGGGTGAGCCCCAGGAAGGAGGAGCTTCAACTTCAAGTGGGGTGCTAGAGAAAGCTTCACTGTGAAGGTGACTATGGAGAACAGCCATGCAGCTCTCTGGAAGAAGAGCAAAGCCCCCAAGGCGTGGGGCTTCAGATGTGGGAGGAACAGTAAAGAGGGTGGAACAGAGTTAGCAAAGGGGAAGGAGCAGGAAGGGAGCTCAGCCAGGTCCTGGAGGCCAAGTGGAGAGGCCTTTTGAGGTCATTCCCAGAACCTACGCTTCATTCTGAGTGAGACAGGGACGCCTGGCGTTCAGCAGGAGGTAGGTCATCCAAACGACATTTTCAGAGGCACGCAGAGGCCGATATGCTGAGAACACATGGTGGAATCGGCAGTGAAAATGCTACTGCAGCAATGCAGGCCAGAAGCTCTGCTGGCAGGTGAGTGCTGAGGCCTGTGGAATTCCAGCCACAACTGGCATATAAAGCTAAGGATGGCTTGGGTGCCAGGCGGACAGGAGAGGAGCTCACAGTCACTACCAGGTTCAGGGTCCATGCAGCTGGGAAAAAGAGCTGCAATTTTCTGATAACAGGAAGCCCACAGTCATCTTCAGAGTGCCCTTAAATCCCGAGCACCCAGCAGGGCAGGAAAACAGCCACCCAGCCAGCCACACACCACGATGTCTCACACGGACCCTCTGACCCTCTGCAGCCCAGTGCCACATGCACAGGAAAAGAACAGGCACCAGAGAAACTCCTGCTTGGGTCACAGTCCCAGAGGGGAAGTGCGCACAGCCTGGCCAAGGCCGCTGCTGCCCTACATGGCCCCACGCAAGTGTGCGTACCTCCATGGACGATCCCCTTGCTTAGCCCATCCTTGTTGTCTGAAGTCAGGAGCAGTTCCACAATGCCGCGGTCCTCCAGTGCCTGCAGGGGAAGATCAGATAGGTCCGAGTATGCCCTGGCTCCTCAAGAGCTTCTGTGGTGACATATAGCTGTGGTGGGGTAGCCTGAAGAACTAGAGGGAGAAATGCCAAATAAAGCTTTTATTTCTCTGCTGAAAACTGAAAAGTCTCCTGCTGTCTGCACCGGCCATGCTCAGCACAGCTCCAATCAGTATGAATTCCCATCGCAGCAGGAGCAGGACCGGCAAGCTGGGACAGCCCTTGGTTGCTCCAGATCTGGAATGTGCCCCATGGGCCAGCTACCATGCCTCAGCGGGTCCACGCCACAGCTGGCTCAGGGAAGCCTGCTGCCATATGTCACCCACCACTGCCTGCTGGGCTCCAGCAAGCAGGTCAGGCCTGCAGGATGACATCCTTCCCTTCACCCATACCACAAGCAACAGGCCTTATGGCTGGTGTGGGTCTGGGGGATGGCAAGGCCCAGGAAGGCCCACCATGCCCTTTCACATGCCCATGGTGTGCTGCTCATGCCCAGAACAGCAGGAAGCGTCCTCACAGGCTATAAAGCAGAGTGAAGTGGAAGGAACGTTGTGCTTGAGAGGCAATGACAACAATAACAGAATGTCCCCTGACATCCACAGAGCAGTCACTGCCACGCCAGGCCTTCCACTCAGCACTTTACACGACTGTCCTATGCAAGCCTCGCAGTTAATATCTTCACAGTACAGACGTGCCTCAGAGGGGTGAAGTCAAGCATCACAGGTTACAAGGCCCATGAAAGATAGGCCTGAACCCAGAACCAGAGGCTCTGCTCTGAGGTTCTGGGCTTTTTTGGATCAGAAACACCAGCAGAGGGGTCGTCCTGTAATCTTCCCTGCAGATATTATGACAAAACTGTTTATTTCCGCTGAAGTCTTTTGGAAGTGGGGAGGTAGGGAGATCATCTGCTGGGCGAATAAGGCTCATGTCCAGTCTCACACACTGGGAAGGAAAGAGCAGAGGGGGCTCTAGTCTCGGCACAGTGGAGCTGCAGAGTTCAGGTGAGGCCATGTAGGATTTATTAAGAGCCCTGCATTTGCCACCTCACACTAATGAGTCATTCACTGATGTTTAGCAAGTGTTTACTTAGGTCCCTGCCACATACACACACACTTAACATTTCTTGGGCATTAGTTTACTGACTCCACCTCCCAAGGTATAATTACTTCTTCCTGAGCACCAGAGACCCTCCGAGCTAGCCTGGGGGCAGGCATCTGTTCTTTCATCCCAGCAGCCTCACAGAGAGGCTGATGCATGCTCCTCAGAGCTTCAGGAACACAGAGGCTGGACACTGCTGCTTCTTTGCCCACCTGAGTCACACAGGAGTACCTCCACCCAGACACCAGGGAAGCATGAGTGGAGGGACAGCACTGTGGGAGCTCTGCTCTCCTCTCGTGGGGCTCTCTTCTGTAGGTGAGTAACTAAGTCAACAACTACTGAGAGGTCCCAGGGCCCAACAGACAGTCTGAGGAAATGGGGTATAGCAGGAGACACTTCAAGTCCTGTGCCAGGATGGGATCTTTCTGTAGGAAGCTGGAGGAGTGGCCTACTCCAAGCAATGGCTGGGCATGGTCATAGGATGGACTTTGCCCCTTTCCAGCTTGAGGAATGCCACCCTTCCTGGACACGGTCTTGCTCCCTCCTAAGAGGGTTTTCTGCAGGTGAGAAGGGGGAAGAGTACATACAAACCCACAAGCTGAAGGGAGTGAATTAATTTCCAGATGGAAAATGCTCTGCATGTCACAGCAGAAGGGATGCTGCCCCAGCATCAAGGCCCAAAGCCATCCAGCCCTCAGACAGGTGGAGTCTGCAGCCACTTATGCTTCCTTAGCTCACACCACGGCCACACCTCCAAAGTACTACACAACAAATGCCAATGATTCTGTCAAGGTCTCATTTGTTGACAACTTACTAGAACAGTACCGAGTTGCGTGATATTACATCATACTCGCAATTCGTAGAGGTGAATATTCTTATTAGTCCCACTTTATAGAAAAGAAAAAGGAGGCTTAGAAAACACTCAAGGTATTTTTTCATGGTCTCAACTACTAAGGGACAGAAACCAGATCTGAACTGTAACCTGTTCTTTTAAGTGTGGCTTTGCCCTTCCCTGGCCAGTCATGCATTGAGTCAGTGGCTCTCAGCCTTCCCTACACACTAAAATCAGATGTCTGAGAACCCCTGGGATTTTTATTGGCTTGGTACGGTACATGGCCTGGCTGCAGAGATTGCTTAAAACTCCCTAGATAAAGCCAGTGTGCAGCCTGGGCTGGGAACCACTGCTTTGGATGCTGGAATTGAAGCAGCCTCTCCAGGAGGCCTTCCTAATCATCACCACGAAATTAAGCCAATTCCTTTATTCCCAGACCCTGCAATGCCACGTGTGTACTGAAATTTCCAGATGAAATTCAATCAGCAAGTAAATAAGTGACAACCCTGTTGAAATAAAACAATGGAGAAAATTCACTAATAAACTATGTTGGAAGATGTATTAATATGATATAAATATTAAACCCACATGTCATACCACAGCCCATAACACACACCAGAGGAAGGAATATAAAGAAACACACCAAGAGGACTCTTACCTTCTTGACATAGGGCATGTAAGCAGGGTCTTTGTTATAGGAACCATATTCATTCTCCACTTGCACAGCAATGATGGGTCCCCCACGCTTGTACTGGGGAGAAAAGATGGACAACCAGGAGGTGAGTTTGTAGGGGAACTGTAGTATCGAACCCACCACACCCATCACCAATGACGAGCAAAATATCTCATTTGAAAATTAAAATCTCAAAAGATTTGGTGTATATTTAAGAGTAATATCAATAAGACAGTGGAGGAAGAAGCACCAGGCCTTTGTTCTCCCATCAAGGAAACAACTCCAGACTGACTAAATTAACTTAATAGGAGTTCTGGAAATCAGTCAAATGTCTAAGAAACGAGTGACCACCAAATCAAACCAGAAAGCCATATGCAAAATGATACAAAATTTTATGATGTTTCCACAAGTTCTTGCCCCACCCCCTCCTCAGTGTAGCGTGGTGTGGTCAAGAGTACTGGTCCCAACTTCCAAGCCCCTTGTTTACAATGTTCTAACATGTTCTACCCAATGTACTGGTTTCTGTCTTGTCTGACATGGAGCTCACACAAGAATCGTCAGCATAGTTTGGACTTCAGGCTGGAAGCTAAAGATGGCAGTGGCAGGTTCCGCAGCATATGAAAACTACCAGAGGACTACAAACCCTTGGATGCCTGGGGGCAAGGAATTACAAGCAGAAGAAAATGAAGAGCATCTAAGGCCGCGAGTAGAAGGGAGTGAGACTCTCTAGGAATCAAAGACACTTGAAAGTGACCAGGGAGGTAGGGACGGGAGCACACACAGATAACAGGCAACACATGCCCAGAAAAGATCAGCTCTTAAGTCTTCACACGGGGTTGATCTCTGGGCTTAGGGGCCCATTAATTAGTGAGGGTTCCCCTGAAAAAAACTGCAGAAACTGAAATAGGTGTCTACTTTTTCAAATGCCCAATGTTCAACCAAGAAAACACAAGACATAAAAAGAAACAGGGAAATATGACTCATCAAAGGAACAAAATAAATCTCCAAAAGCAGTATCTGAAGGAACACATATACCAGACTCATAGAGCAAGATCATAACAGCTGTTGTAAATATGCTCACGGAGCTAAAGGCAGGCAAATGATATATGAAGAAAATGAGAATGTCAACAAGGGAACAGAGATTATTTTAAAAAAGAACCAAAGGAACTTCTGGGGCTGAAATATACCATATCTAAATTTAAAAATTCACTAGAGGAATTCAACAGGCAGAAGAAAGAATAAGCAAACTTAAACACAGGTTATCAGAAATGATCAGGTTTGAGGAGATAAAAGAATAAAGAGAAGTAAACAGAGCCTAAGAGACTTACACAACACCGTCAAGCAGACTAATATAATAATTATGGGAATCTTAGAAGAAAGAGATAAAAGGGCAGGGAGATTATGTATACAGAATAATAGCTGAAAATTTCTCAAATTTGAGAAAAGGCATGATTATATAAATCCAAGGAGTTCAAAATTTCCAGAGAACCACACAGGGACACACTATAATCAAACCACTGAAGACAAAAAGAGATTCCTGAATGCCACGAAAGTTTTGGTCACATACAAGGGATCCTCAATAAGACTATAAAAGATACCTCAGCCAGAAACTTTTATGGCCAGAAGGCAATGAGCTGATACAGTCACAGTGCTGGAAGAAAAAAGTGTCAGCTTTTTTTGTGACACTTCTATATCCAGCAAAACTCAAAAGTAAGGGAAAAATTAAGAAATTCTCCAAGAAAAGCTAAGAGAGTTTGTTACCAGCAGACCTGTCCTAGAAAAAAAGCACTTAAAGTTGAAATGAAAAAATGCAAGTGTAATATGAAGCTAGATGAAGATACAAAGTTCTCCAGTAAAGATAGACACATGAAAAATATATTTTTTAAATACTATTATTATTTTAATTACAATGTATATTTTTATTTTCTATGAAATTTAAAAGACAGATAAAAATGATTATAAATCTATGTTAGTGGGTACACCACATATGAAGACATAATTTGTGACATCAGTAAAATAAAGTGGAGGGGCAGAACTGTAAAGAAGTAGGGTTTTTATGTACAAGTGAATAGGTTTGTATCGATTTAAAACAGAATGTCAAAACTTTAGTATATTATATATAATCCTGAGGTAACCACAAAGAGCATATCTATAGAATATATACAAAATTAAATTAAAAGGGAATATAAAAAAGTGTCGCTATAAAAAATCAACTACATAAAAAGTAAGGCAGTAATAGAGGGAATGAGGGAGAAAAAGCTGTAAGAGATACAGAAAACAAAAAAAATGGCAAAAGTAAATGTTTCTCTATCAGTAGTTATTTTGAATATAAATATATTTAACTCACCAATCAAAAGACATACATTGGCATAATGGATTTTTAACAAACCCATGTCCAATTATATACTGTCTACAACATACTCATTTTAGATCTAAGGATACACATTGGTTGAAAGTGAAAGGTTGGAAAAAGATATTTTATGCAAACAGCAATCAAAAGAGCAGGGGTGGCTTTACTAATATCAAACAAAATAGAGTTTATATCAAAAACTGTTATAAGGGACAAAGAAAGACATTATAAAATAAATATAATGATTACAGGTTCAATTCACCAAAAGAATATAACAATTATAAACATATATGCACAAAACACCAGAGTTTCAAAGTATATGAGACAAACACTGGCAAAATTTATTTAAGGGAAAAATAGACAGTTCTACAATAATAATAGGAGACTCAATATCTGAATATCAATAATGGCTAGAATAACCAGACAGAAAATCAGTAACCAAACAGAGGACTTGGACAATATTATGGACCAGTTGGACCTAACATATATTTTATATATATATATAGAAAATGTTTTATATATATATATATATTTTATATATATAATGTTATATATATTATATATATATAAATATGTTACATATATATATTTATATATATTATGGACCAGTTGGACCTAACATATATTATATATATATGTATATATATATAAAACATTCCACCCCAAAATAGCACAATACACATTTTTCTCATGAGTACTTAAAACACTCTCTGGGATAAACCATATCTTAAGCCAAAAAACAAGCCTTAATAAATTTTTCTTCTTTTTTAAAATTATAGAGTCTTGCTGTGTCACCCAGGCTGGAATGCAGTGGCACGATGTTGGCTGACTGCAACCTCCATCTCCCAGATTCAAATTTTGTGCTTCCACCTCCGAAGTAGCTGGGATTACAGGTGCCCACCACCACAACCAGCTAATTGTTTTTATGTTTTAGTAGAGAAGGGATTTCACCATGTTGGCCAAGCTGGTCTCTAAATCCTGACTTCAAGTGTTTCTCCTGTCTCGGCCTCCCAAAGTGCTTGGATTACAGACATGAGCCACCATGCCCAGCCTCAAGCCTTAATAAATTTTAAAAATTGAAATCATACAAAGCTTTATTTTTCCCAATCAAACTGGAATGAAACTAGAAATCAATAGCCAAGAAGAAAATCCTGAAAAATTCAAATATGTGGAAATAATCAAATCTTAACCAATAGTCCAAAGAGGAAATCACAAGATGAATTAGAAAACATATTGAGAAAAATGAACATGAAAACAAAATTATGAATTACAGTGAAAGCAGTGCAAAGAGGGAAATTTTATAGCTATAAATATTTTTAAAAGACAAAAGGTCTCAAACTAACAACCTAACTTTACACCTTAAAAAAACAGAAAAAGGGAAACAAACTAAACTCAAAGGTAGCAGAAGGAAGGAAATAATAAAGATTAGAGCAGAGATAGGCAATGAGAGAATAGAAAAACAATAAAGAAAAAGTAATGAAACCAAGAGTTGATTATTTGAAAAGATCAATGAAACTGACAAACTGTAGATAAACTAAGAAAACAAGATATGATTCAACTAAGATCAGAAACAACTGATATTACTGTGCTGATTTTATAGAAATAAGGATTACAAAAGAGGAATATGAACAAATTGTATACCAACAAATTAAATAACCTAGATGAAACACACAAATTCCTAGAATCATACAATGTGCCAAAACTAAATCATGAAGAAATATAAAATCTGAACAGACATATAACTAGTAAGGACACTGAATCAGTAACTAAAAACCTCCCAACAAAGAAAAGTCCAGGACCAGATGGCTTCACTAGTGAATTCTACCAAACATTTAAAGAAAACACCAATCTTCCTCAAAGCTTTACCAAAAATTGAAAGAGAAGGAACACTTCCTACCTTATTCTATAAGGTAGAATACAGTAATGAACTCTCTATGCTTTTCTTTGGGAATTTCTTAATTTTTCCCTCATTTATGAGTTTTGCTGGATATAGAAGTGTGAAAAACAAGTTGACACATTTTTCCTTTATTACAAACAAAAGCCACTATAAGAAAAGAAAACACAGACTAACAGTCCTAATGAATACTGCTGCAAAAACCCTCAACAACATGTTAACCAACTTAATTCAACAGCATATTAAAAGAATTATAAACCATGATCAAATGGGATTTATTCCTGTAATTTGAGGATGATTTGCCATGTGAAAATCAATCAGTGAAGGCCAGGCAAGGTAGTTCATGCCTATAACTCCAGCACTTTGGGAGTCCAAGTTGGATGGATCACCTGAGGTCAGGAGTTCGAGACCAGTCTGACCAACAGGGTAAAACCCCATCTCTACTAAAAATACAAAATTAGCTGGGCATGGTGGTGGGCACCTGTAATCACAGCTACGTGGGAGGCTGAGGCAGGAGAATCACCTGAACCTGGGAGGAGGAGGTTGCAGTGAGCTGAGATAGTGAGATAGAACCATTGCACTCCAGCCTGAGCAACAAGAGTAAAACTTGATCTCAAAAAAAAAAAAAAAAATCAATCAACATAATATACCACATTAACATAATTAAAGGGAAAACTCACATGATGATCTCAATTAATGCAGAAAAAAACCACGTGACAAAATTCAATATTCTTTCATGATTAAAAAAGAACACTCAGTAAACTAGGAGCAGAAGGAAACTACCTCAACATAATAAAGGCCATATACGAAAAGCCCACAGCCAACATCATATTCAGTGGTGAAAGACTGAAAAGTTTTCCTATATGGTCAGGAACAAACCAAGTATTCCTGCTTTCAGCACTTCTATTCAACATTGTACTGGAAATCCTAGCCAGAGCAATTAGTTAAGAAAAAAATAAAAGCACCCAAGTTGGAAAGGAAGAAGTTATCTCTGTACACAAACAACATGACCTTAAATGCAGAAAGCAGTACAGATCCCCACACCCCCCCCCAAAAAAAAAAAAAAAAGTATCCAGCTAACAATTCAGTAAGGTTGCAGGATAAATAAAATCAATGCACAAAAATCCATTGTTTTCATACATTATCAGGGAACAATTCCATTGAAGACACCATCAAAAACAATAAAATACTTGGGAATATATTTAGTCATGGAGGTAAAATATGTGTACACTGATTGTACATTACAAAAAATACTAAAAGAAAATCAGGGACAAAGGAGCAAGAGGGTGGAATAGAAGCCTGCACTGTTCATCTGTCCTGCTGCAACATCAAGTATTAACAATGATCTGCACACAGAAAAGCAGCATCGCTAAAACCAAAATTCAAGTGAGCAGTCACAGTATCTGATTTTAACTTCATATCAACAAAAGAGACATTGAAGCAGCCAAGAGAGACAGCCTTACACCACTGATGCCACCCTCTCCCATCTCCCAGCAGTAGCCAACCAATAAGGAGAGAGGATCTGTGCATTTGGGGAAGGGAGAGCACAGCAACTGGGGAACTTTACAATGAACTCAGTGCTGCCTTGTCATAGCACAGAATAAAGCCATGCTGGGCTCAGCCAGCATCCACCTAGAGGGAGCACTTGGACCAGCCCAAGCCAAAGAGAAACTGCCCATCCTAGCGATTGAAACTTGAGTTTCTTGGCAATCCTCACCACCATGGACTGAAGTGGCTCTGGAATCCTAGGTAAACATGAAAGGCAGTCTAGGACACAAAGACCACAAGGCTTAGGCAACTCCTAGTGCTAGGATGGGCTACAGCCAGTATACTAGTGTGGCACACGGTCTAAGGAGACACCAGCTGGCATGGCTAAGGGAGTTCTTGCACATCCCTCCCCCAACCCCAGGTAGCACAGCTCATAGAAACAAAAGTGGCTCCTTCCTTCTGCTTAAAGAGAGGAGAGCGAAGAGTAAAGAGGACTTTGTCTTGCATCTTGAATACAAGATGCTCAGCCACAGTAGGAAAGGGCACCGGCAGAGTCAGGAGGTCCCCGTTCTAGGCCCTAGCTTCCAGACACTTCTAGACACACCCTGGGCCAAAGGGGAAACTGCTGCCTTGAAAGGAAGGACCCAGTCCTGGAAGGACCTATTAAGGAATTGGTATCCAGAAGGTAAAAAGAATTCCTATAATCAACAACATAAAAACAAGCAACTAGATTCAAAAATAAGTAAAAGACTTGAATAAACATTTCTCCCAAGATATAAAAATGACCAATGAGCACATGAAAAGATGCTCCACTCCAATAGTCATTAGGGAAATACAAATCAAAACCACCATGAGAGACCACTTCACACCTATTGATGGTTCTCTCCAGATAAACAGGAAATAACAAGTGTTGGCAAAGATGTGGTGAAATTGGAATGCTTGTGTATTGCCGGTGGGTATGTAATCTGGTGCAATTTCTTTGGAAAACAGTATGGCATTTCCTTAAAAAAACTAAATGTAGAATGACAAGTTGATTCAGCAATTTCAATTCTAGGTATATACCCAAAAGAAGTGAAAGCAGGGACGCAGAAAGATATTTGTACACCCACGCTCATAGCAGACTTATTCATAGTGGCCAAAAGGCAGAAGCAACCTAAATGTTCACCAATGGATGAATGGATAAACAAATGTGTTATATACATACAATGGAATATTATTCAGCCTTTCAAAGGAAGGAAATTCTGGCACAGATGAACCCTGAGAGCACTGTTAAGTGAAATAATCCAGTCACAGTACTTTGTGATTTCACGTATATTTGGTAGCTAAAGTGATCAAATGAATACAGAGAGTAGAATGGTTGTCAGGAGATGCAGAGAGGGAAGAATGGAGAGTTTAACAGGCACAGAGTTTACACTGGGGAAAACAGATAAGGTCTGGAGATAGACAGTGGATGCAATAGACTGTGTTCCCCCAAAATGTACATGTTGAAATCCTAACCCCCAGCGTGAAAGTATTAGGAGGTGGGACTTTCCGGCGGTGATTAGTCATGAGCAAAGTCCTCACAAACAGGGCTACTGCTCTTATAAGCTCTCTGACCCTCTCTGCCATGTAAGGTTATGTCAATAAGATGGCCGTATATGCCATGGAAGAGGGCCCTTCTGGACACCAAACCTGCCAGTACCTTGACCTTGGACTTCCCACCCTCCAAACCTGGGAGAAATGAATCTCTGTGGTCTGTGAGCCACTCAGTCTAGGTGTTTGCTGGCGGCAGCCTGAACTAAGGCTGTCGAGATGGGCACACAACAGTGTGGGTGTACTCAATGCCACTGAGCTGTACACTCAAAGATGGCTAAAATGGCAATGTTTATGTTATGTACACTATACTACAACAGCAACAAAAATAAAATAATTGTGTTATTATTTAAATATGTCAATTTAAATAAATAATAATTATTATGTTATCATTTATTTGAAAAAGAAGCATTGGCAGGGTGCGGTGGCTCACGCCTGTAATCCCAGAAGTTTGGGAGGCTGAGGCAGGAGGATCATGAGGTCAAGAGATCGAGACCATCCTAGCCAAGAGGTTGAAACCCCGTCTCTACTAAAAAGACAAAAAATTAGCCAGGCATGGTGGGAAGCTCCTGTAATCCCAGCTACTCAGGAGGCTGAGGCAGGAGAATCACTGAACCCGGCAGGTGGAGGTTGCAGTGAGCCGAGATCACACCATGGAACTGCAGAGCGAGACTCTGTCTCAAAAAAAAAAAAAAAAAAGAAGAAGCATCGGTGATTTGCTGCACATCTGCAAGTGCCTCTAAGCCTGCTCCCAGGATGGTCTTCCTGCTGCCCACCCAACTCTTACAACCTTCTGATCCCCTCAGTGGCTCCAGCTTCCCAGCAAGATCTAGGCTAATGACTTCTAGCTCCTTGCTCCTATCACAATTAAAGCTGCCAGATTTAGTAAACAAAAATACCAGACATGAAGTGCAATTTGAATTTACAACAAATAAATTCTTAGCATAAGTATGATCCATGCAATATTTGGAATATATGTACACTAAAAAATTATTCCTTGTTTATCTGAAATTCAAATGTAACAGTATCCTGTGTTTTATCTGGCAGTTCCCTTTGATTTATGTGTGAAGTGAGTATTCCATACCACTGACTTGTACTAATTTGTTATTGATACACTAATTTCTCAGTGTCATTCTTTATGACATTACCACTGGGTTGATTTTTCCCATTCCTGCTTTCCACAGCTTCCAATTATTATATAAAATATTAAGATACTTCCTTTCCCAAAATTTACTTTAACACATGTTTTGAATAGTAAATGTGTACCATGCAGCACCTTTTTGGTAGCAGAGGGAAGTATCTCGTAAAGTCAGCAACAGGAATTTTATAATACACAAAAAGTCCTGCAGTCTTATAGGCAAAGGTTAAACCTGCTCCAACCTGCGCAGAACTGAGCCACAATGCTATTGGGACACTGGTAGATAGATGCGTGTTCCCGGCTATCAAGACATCCCTATCTCTCTGGCACCATGGAGACGCCAGTGGATGGATGTTCCCAGTTGTCACTGCATCCCTATCTCTGACACTGTGGAGATGCCAGTGGATGGGTGTTCCCGGCTGTCACTGCATCCCTATCTCCCTGACACTGTGGAGACGCCAGTGGATGGATGTTCCCAGTTGTCACTGCATCCCTATCTCTGACACTGTGGAGACGCCAGTGGATGGATGTTCCCAGTTGTCACTGCATCCCTCTCTCTCTGACACTGTGGAGATGCCAGTGGATGGGTGTTCCCGGCTGTCACTGCATCCCTATCTCTGACACTGTGGAGATGCCAGTGGATGGGTGTTCCTGGCTGTCATGGCATCCCTATCTCTCCAGCGCCGTATGTGACAATGTGAGCCCTTACATTTGTCTGTCCCTTCAGTAACACACCCAAGTGAAACAACACTGAAATGCAGAGATCTTTCAAAAGACAACTATTGCAAGTCCCTCGGTTATCAGTCTCAGGCAGTGGGAAAGAGCATGTTCCTGTGTTCAAGAACATTGGAAGCCCCTTGGTCTGAGAACTAACCAAGGGTGATCCACTACCTAGAGGAAGACAGGTGAAGATCAAAGAAGACCCCATTTGCTTGTACCTGGAGTGGCACCACCCTGGACATCAGGTGATCAAAATAAAGGTCCACTGCTTCAGTGAAGCCCTTGTAAGTTGTCCTCAGCCTCATGCCAGGGTCTTGGAGTAGCCAGCTTGAAGTAAAAAGGGAGAGAAGGGAGGACATTAGTGTCACAGTGTGTTTGCTGTGAGCAGGCTGCTGGTGCCATGAGAAGGGAGAGGCCCCACAGTGCTCCAGAATGACCTGTGCCCTCCTCCACCCCACTCAGCCCGGAGACTGTGCAAACCGATTCTGGGACGAGCACCCACACGCAATCCTACAACTTCCCTTCCCAAGGACACACCATGGTAGAAGTTCATTTCTAGCTCCACAGCTACAGAGCCTGGCTGCCAGCAGTGATGAAATCTTTTCACAGGACCCCAGGCCCAGTTTTTAAGAACTTGCTCTATGATCCCATTACAGAGGGTAAAGCCAAAAGGGTTAGGAATCACTGAGGCTGTGGAAGGATGGAGACACAACCTTCCAGCGTCACCCTGAAAAACAAGCCTGATGGAGACTGTGAGGGGCTGAGCATGATGCAGCCGCTCTCCTTGCCAATGCGGCCAACACCTTGGCATCGGTTGCATGGGCTGTGCACAGCTCAGCACAGAGCAACAGGTGAGCAAGAGCTGAATTCTCCCTCCACCCAGTTGCTGTGATCCCAAACTCCCCAGAGGAACACGGCAGCATGGATTAGTTCCAAAGCTGGAGTCAGGGCTCCTTCTTCTCACTTCAGGTTCTGAGAAAAGACACATAGTTTCTAACAAAAGGCTCTGAGGCTCCCCTTGCCCTGGTCTGGAAGTCCTAAACAGGTTAGGAAATTATCTCATTTCTATTGGTAAAACAATGGGTGAGGAGAGAGCAGTTTCCTCTAGATTGACACCCCCACATTCTAACCCCACCTGACAGGTTAGGTTTCTCACTCCCACCCAGACTGCCCCTCTGCAGCTGTGCCCACATGCCCCTCTCATGAATGAGCAGGTGCCACATAGGCAGGGTTGGGGGGCAGTCTGAGTGCCACAGCTCCCCCTGCTTCTAAGTTAAGACGGTTAAACCCTTCATCCTCCTCTGCCCGGCCCTAGCTGAGCCGAGGAAATCGCTGACGGTAGCACACAGCTTTCTAATCCGCAGGGACTGGGGAGGCTGCCCTGGCTTTGTTCATGTCAAGGGCAAGTGTGCCAAGCTGAATGGATCAGTGTCTGAGAAGTGACCCTGGGTAGTGGAGACAGAAGCTGTGCCCACAAGGGAAAGGCAGGTCGTGCTGGAAACCAGGAGGAAAACAAGGCCAGGGCTCCCCAGGGGAGGGGGAGTGGGCCTGGGGATAAGGATCAGCCTCTTCCCCCGGGGCAGCCCAGGTCTAACCACCTGGTACCGTGGGAGGCTGCAAACGGTTATGCCTGTTAACAAGAAAATCTTAAAGGTAACAATGATGAGGATGAGGAATGAATGAGGTCCCAGCTGATTCCTGTCCAGATTTCTTTTTGTTGTTGTTGTTATAAATCAATACTTTTATTTGCTAAACTGACTTCAACTAACCCAATAAAAGTTTGTTGAGTAACTGCAACATGCCAGGCCCCTTATAGCCTAAGAATAGGTTAAGTGCCAAGTCGGTTAAATAGCGTAACCAAACATAGCTCGCTATAATTTTTTATATTATGTAAATAAAATTATAATCTTATAGGACAATCTATACTGTTTAGCCCATACAAACTAATTTCATAGTTAAAACAGGTATAGTTGGATAAAAATACACCGTCACTGCCAGACGTGGTGGCACGTGCCTGTAGTCCCAGCTACCTGGGAGGCTGAGGCTGGAGGATTGCTTGAGTCCAGGAGTTCTGGGCTGTAGTATGCTATGCCAATCGGGTGTCTGCACTAAGCTCAGCATCAATAGTGGCCTCCCAGGAGCGGGGGACCACCAGGTTGCCTAAGGAGGGGTGAACTGTCCCAGGTTCCTGTCCAGATTTCCACTCCAACCACAGAATACCAACGTCAGCCAAGACTACGCCTGGGAAGATGACACATGTGAGTCGAGATGTGAAGACAAAACCATCACAAGAATTTGTTTCTGTCAGGCTTTATCAAAACACTTGGACTTTTCAAAATATGCTTGGTAGCATTCCTAAGAAACAGGCAGGGAAGGTTTCATCTTTCCTATACTGTAGACAAGCAGGTGAACGACCTGCCAGGGCTCCCAGCTTCACAGCAGAGCCCGAAGCATGAAATGCCTGGAGGGTCAGCCCTGCTGCTGCCTGTCACATAAGCAGCCCACAAGGGGCTCTGCGAGGGCACCCACTGCAGCATCACTGAAAAGTGATGCCCCCTGGGTGCTGTTCCTCCTGAAAAGGAAATTCAGTACAGAATGGGAACTAGAACACAGAAACAAAACTAAACCTATGTCTGTGAGCTTTCTGCACAGCACACAGGACCCTTCACAATTCTGCTTACCTGGGCAAGCCGCCGAGGTCAATCTCACTGCAGATGTAGGGGCCTGGACGCAGAATCACCCACAGCCCGATCTCCGAGGCCATCAGGATGAAGGCCCTAGAGGGGTCCACATCGTCAGCCCTTCCCACGACAGCCAATGGTGAGGCTAGGTGGGCTGCATGCATCACAGGGAGAGGAGCTGCCCAGTGGGGTGAAGGGACAGCTTGGCCCCACCCCCACAGAGCAGGGACTCCCACCTCAGGTCGGAGGTCTGAGCTGCTCCAAGCCTCAGAGCCTCTGCAGAGCCCCATCAGGGGCCTGAGGAGGAAGGGCGTCAGCCAGGGCACAGGGGCCTTAACAGTGAATCTAACTCCAATAGAGCCTTGCCAGCCTAGAGGGGCCTCCCTGTCCCAGCCCAGGCAGCTGGACCCCATGCAGAGTTGGGCAGCTTCTGGGGTCTTCTGCCCCTCGGGGTTGCAGTGGAGAGGTGAGGCCAAGATGCTGCAGGCCCAGCCCCACCGGGTGACAGGTCATGGATGGGGAATGTCTGGATCCTGGGTTCAGGGCCTCTCATAGTCCTAGAACAGGACCCCAGACCCAGGTCCCTCCCTGGTTCTCTTTGCTAATCCACCCCCAGTAACCGCCTCTCTGCCCCTGCCCCTGGTCAGGTCACAGAAGCAGCAACACCACATACTCCAGGTCCAGGTTCCCAGAGAAGTCAAATTTGCCTCTTTCTGGCTCATGCAGGTTCCACGGAACATAGCTGCAACAGAAATAATGATTATCGGCTAGAGTGTCATTCATTCCAATTCATCTCCCACATTACATTCTTCATCCTTAAAATCAAATATGATGGCTGAAGATATATGTCTTCATGATTTTAGGACTAGAACCAAGAACTAAGTGAACCAATCTAGAGACCAGAATCAAGGGCAAGCCCTCTTCCCTCCGTAACAACAGGATTTGGACAAAGCGTAAGACCTGCTGAGTAAAAGGTCAGGTGCTCTGACCCCAGTCAGCTTACCATGCCTACACCCCACTGGAACAGAAGATGTAACTTTATCCGAAAACAGCTAAAAGGAGCAAGAGGAAAGTTCAGTGATCATCCTGTGTTTACTGAAGCACCCAGAATTCCAAAATGTGCAACAGAATGAAGCTTCCAACTCTAGACAAGACAAGGGACAGAGCAGGCTCATGGACAGGCTCAACTCGAGAGGTGGAGGGGACAACTCTGGGATGACACAGTGACGACAGCTGCTCTTCTCCTGACCCCACCCCATCACTGGCTTTAGAGGAGCCTCTTCCCGCTACAGAGAATATTCCCAGCTGAAGGGAGGAGAGGCTGCCTGGCTTCCAACTCAGACACACGAGTTCTGCCTTTCAGCAAATATCTGCAGTGCTGCTCCTGTGGGGCAGAGCGCTGAGCCCGCAGCGCTCCCACAACCTGCAGGAGTCCTTTCTGGGAACTCATCAAGGCTCAGCACATCTCTGTACCTCTTTAAGGAACTGCCTTCAAAACCAGTTCATAAGTCACCCAAGAAAAGCTACTCTTTGATTTGTAATCACATATTTTTGCCTGAAAATGGAATAATCCAGCCTGATCATTCCCTTTATTTCACAGACTTAGAGCCAAGTATCTGTTGGCAATTTGGGGGGAAACTCCATGAAAAGATCCCAGTTATCCACAACTAAGTACACTTTTAAAATGATTTGCGAAGTCAAAATTTTATTGTGTGCCTACCATGTGTCATCCCACAATAGAAGCTGGGATGACAAGCACAGAATTCGAAGACCACTGCCCAAGAGCAGTGTTAAAAACTTGGGGCAGAGCCTCTCAGGCAGCTCTTTTGAAGAAGACCCCATTCACTGGCTGTCTAAACTGGAAGTGGAGAGACTGCTTGTTTAAAAAAAAAGGTTCACTAGCACTGAATCACCTCCTCCATCTGCACTCAGCTCCTTCACTATACTCTTGTGCGACATTGCTACCTCGGTTCCTCTAGACCTTACATCCATTCATGTCCCTCCATGCCCATGAGTCAGGAGCTCTGTGGGGAGAAGAGGAGGGAGACCCTGGCTCTCTGCTTTTGGCAGAGGACCTGGGCTGGTTCCTCTTACATTTTTTCGCATGCAGACACCAGGAGCCCTACTTGGGAAGCAGGCCCCATGGGGGAAGGAGGCAGCACCTACGTGGTGAGGGTGTTCAAGCCACAGGCCTTCATCTTCAGCAAGCGGTCCCTCCAGTACTCCTTGGGCACACGGAAATAGTGGATGGAGCCCCCGAAGATCCAGAAGGTGGAGTCCTCCAGCATGAAGTTCCAGCCCTTGGCCTGCAGCCCCAAGTGCCGATGGCGGAGCCACAGAGGGACCAGGGTACTCCAGTCCAACCTGGAAAGACAAAGGCATTCTGGAGCCTAGAGACTCTGGGTCCCAGAGAGATCAGCGTCCTCGTCCCTCCACAGGCCCTCAGTGTTTCTTTCTAGAGAGGGCCTGTGTCCAGGTGGCCGGAAAATCTCCCCACTCCGCCTCAGCCAAACCTTGGAAGGGGTCTTTCTTCAGCACGGGGCCCCGCGGCAGGGGAAGGGCAAGCCAAGGCTGCAGCCAGGAGCAAGGCCAACACAGCGCTCGGCATGAAGGCTGGCGGGCTAAAAGGAGAGAGGACAGTGGTCAGCCACAGGAGAGCTGCTGCAGGGCCGGGCCAGCTCTGCGGCCAGGGCGCTACAGCAGCAGCAGCTTCACACAGTAAGTACCTCTGAGCCCCGGCACATCGCAGCAGCCTGACTCGAGGAGCAGAGACCGGGAAAGAAGGTCTGGGTTAACGGCATCCACTCATCCACCTGATTCCAGGTTGCAATTACTTTCTTCCCCATGGGAAGGCTGTCGAAAGCTTTGGCCCATGAGAAGCCCCTCAAGCATCTCTCGGGGCTGGCCCAGGGAGCCCCTCAGGGGGATCCCAGTGACTCGGTACTTCAGGGTGGGTCTCCTTCTCACCAGTCTCCCAAAGGGCAGGAGAGAAACTGGGAGACCCACATGTCAAGCCAGGAGGTTCATGAATGTTGGAAACACGAAACAAGCACATGGCTGAGTCTGGGGCAGGAGCCAGCATTGGCTGTGCCTTTGTCCTCACTGGGTACTCTCCAGCCCTGACACCCAGCAGGCCCCTCTGCACCAGACGCTCCCTCAGCTGAGTGTCACAGAGGGATGGGGCAGCTGAGGGGGCCAGATGGACAGACACGAGGAGACAGGATGCCCACAGGACAGAAGATACCCCGGACATCGTCCGCCTCTTGGGAACTCTGTCTGGGACCACTCTCAGGCAAAGAAATTTACTTTTTTACCTACTGCTTTCTACTTCTCACAGCCCCCGGGCCTTAGAACTCACACCCAAGCACCAGGACCACAGTTCTGCTGTGTTACAGATGAAAGGGTCGTCTCATCTGGGGCAACCTGGGAAGCTGTTCACCACACTTTTCTTTCTCTAGAGAGAAAACTTTCATGTTCTAGTAAATGGCTTGCAAATGACATTTTAGGACACAGTCCTTCCAAAGGACTGTGTGGGAGAGTGAAAACAAAAACGCTGGCCAGAATGGGAAGATCTGGATGTCAATCCTGGCCCCAGCTTCACATAACTGTTGCCTTGGGTCAGTGACACCAGTTTTGCAGGCAGGAGCTTCTTCCTCTGTAAAAACAGGACTAATGTCCATCCCAACTGCTCAGAAAGGCTGCTGTGAGGGTCCCAGAGAAATGCAACCCTCTATGCTGTGCAGTCGAAGCGTCTTATCTCTATCTAAAATCCATTGATTTTAGCATGTGCTTGTATACTAGAGAGCTATGGAAACCTTCTCACCACACTTTTTTTCTCTAAAGAGAAAACTTTAGAGAGAATAGCCTCAGGTGGGTTTTATGTCCCTAATACAGAATATACCAGCCTCTCCATTCTCCCCATTGTGGTATATAATTTATGTGCTAGACTTTGTGCCAAGCCATCTTATTACAGTTTCTAAAATTTGACAATGAAAAATTCTGAAATCCTATTAGATCAACACAGCCTGTAGACCAGAGGTGGGCCAACTTGGGCCTCAGGTCAAATCCAGCCTGCCATCTGTCTTTGTGCAAAGGATAGTTTTCACATCTGTAAATGGCTGAAAAAAAATCAAAAGCATAATATTTGAGGACACATAAAAAATTATATGAACTTCAGTGTTCATAAATCGTCGAATTGGCACACAGCCACACCATCTACGTGCGGCTGCTTTTTGCAGTGTAGAGTACTTGCAATAGAGACTGTGCGGCCTGCAAAGCTGAAAACATTTGTGATCTATCCTTTCCCAGGAACCGTGCTGGCCCACATCCTTGCAGATGAAGCCCTGGACTGCTAAGATAAGGCCTCAGGCCCCTATGGGCCACCATCCTGGCCTTCCTTTGGTGTCCCCGGCTCTGCTGACCAGGCGCTTGCTTTGGTTACAGGCTTCCAACTGCTCTGGCTTTGTCAGAAGCCTCCCTCACCTCAGACACAGGAGAGTCTGTGTGTCCCTTGGTTCTGATCACACCTACTCCAAAGTGCACACTCTGCCTCCTGCTCAGCTCTCCCTACCTCAGGTACTCACCAGACTCAGTTGCCCACTGCAACACAGGTTCTCCCCCTAGATTACCCAGAGGCACATGCTGGGCTCAGCCCAGGCCAGAATGAGGAAGAACTGGATGGACAGATTCTTTTCTAAAAAACAGGGGTATTTTGACAATCTGGTGGTGAAAATACACACACACGTGCGCGCGCACGAGCACACACACACACACACACACACACATACACACACAATATCACTGTTTGTAAAGACAGTGATAATACAACTTAGCAATCACTCCACCAGGTGGCAAACCTTATTCTCCGGCCAGAACTTCAAAAGCACAATCTCTAATTTTTATTAAAGCACACATTACTTACCCTAACATCTATTTATGGGTGCGAGAGCCTCCACTCCCTACCCTGCTAAGTGAAGAGGTATAGGCAAGGTTAGAGAAGCTTCTCTGTGACCCCCATTCCAACATAGTCCCACTAATAACAAACACCTTTAACCTGTCCCCCTTGATTAGTTGATGACTAAGGATCAGCAAACCTCCCACTAGGCTGATTTCTCCAGGTGTGATCTGCAGGCAGCAATGCCTCGGAACCTCCTCAGGGTCACAGCCACCTGACTCAAGGTGCAGACGCCTGGAAAGTGGCATCCCAATTCAATAGCTTCTATCCACCAACCAGATTTCCAGGTCTTCATCTGCAGCTTGTCAGAAATGCATAAACCTCAAGCCTTACTTGCAACCTATTGAATCAAAATCTGCATTCTAACCAATCCCAAGGTTATGGCTCGAGAAGCCCAATCTGTATCTTCTCCTTTGACACGTGTACATAGACTCCCTCCCTGGATAGAGCTTATCTTTGCTAGTGTCTTTATAACACACCATTTTCTATATTTTTAGGAAAAACGTTCTTCTCAGTGCATATCAAGAGGCATGAAATAAACATCAAAAACAAAAAACAATCTAGCTGTTATCCAATTCTGAATTCTAGAAAATTCTACTGTTTCTTCATGGGAATTTTCTGGTAGGTTACTAGACAAGTTGTCAATATATTACTTAAAAGGGATGAATTCACTGAGCAAATGAGGATGCTAAGTGTTGGTTTCTCCAAGGAATTCAGTGCCGGGAAATGAGGCCATACGAGTTAGAGCCTCATAAACTACTAAGCATCACGTAAATGGTTATTACCACTAATAATGATCATTAATACTAAGAATCCTAAGATGGCAAATAACCCTGTAATTTTCTGAGTAACTCAGTGATAATAAAATAAAGGAAATATCAACTGTGTGGTTAGAGTTGGTTGGTTTAAGGGTCAGCAAGCCTTCATTCCTAAACTAGGCTTGATACCAAGGAGCTAACCAGATCCTAAGGAAGCCCAGCGTGTTTCTGCCACTTTTCTTGATGAGCAGTTCATCCATGATGGATCTTTATTTGATGAAACCAGGAACACCTGCCTTCATTCAAACTGGAACTTATGTTAACATTTTCTTTTCTTTCTTTTTTTTTTGAGACAGAGTTTCGCTCTTGTTACCCAGGCTGGAGTGCAATGGTGCGATCTTGGCTCACCACAACCTCCGCCTCCTGGGTTCAAGCATTTCTCCTGCCTCAGACTCCTGAGTAGCTAGGACTACAGGCGTGCCACTATGCCCAGCTAATTTTTGTATTTTTAGTATAGACGGGGTTTCACCATGTTGACCAGGATGGTCTCAATCTCTTGACCATGTGATCCACCTGCCTCGGCCTCCCAAAGTGCTAGAATTATAGGCGTGAGCCACCGCGCCCGGCCTATGTTAACATTTTCTCCTGGAATTTCTGTTGCCTGTGTATCTTGGCTTCATTTATAGAAAGTGACTTTTCTGCCTTAGAAGATACTGGACAGCAGGCCCTGACCACTGGCCTGAACTCAGTGCTCAGTGCCCAGAGACAGGCTCTACTCCTCCACCTGGATGGAGAGGATGGCCACGGTCATGATACAAGGTGAGGTTCCTGGAAGAAGGCAAGTATGTCAGGACTTCTGATGGAGCCTCACACAACTTAACAAGACTTCTGCAGCCCATCCTCACCAATTCCTTTTTGGCAAGTCGAAAAGGGGCATGAACTATTCATGCTGAAGGCTGTGCAAGCTGTAGATGCAAAAATCGGTTGCAATGGAAACCTGCAGCAGAGGACATAGGTACCGAGTTCTGCCGTGCCCCATGGTGAGGAAGCAGGGGAGGCGAAGCCTTCTGGAGTAATTTTCCCTTGACTGGTGAGGTGGGTCCTGAGGATGAGAGCAGTCTCCAGCAGGCAGGAGTTCTGGGAGTGGTAAAGAGTGCTGGCAGATGTGAGGGGATAGAAAAGGGCAGATGACCTGGTGGCAAGGTCACCACTTCTTTCTGGGAATGGGACTGGCTGTCAAGTTTCAGAGGGGGTACTGCAGGGCAGCTGGGTGGAAGGTGAGCCAGATCCTATGGCCACCAGAAAGGATCTCCTTGAGTGAGGTGTGCCAGGCATGAAATGCATCCTGCCATGCCAGGGGGCATCCCTGTATCACTCGTCAATCCTGCAAACACTCATCAGGAACTGGGTCATGGTACGGCTAGGAGGCCTCACTGGGGTCACAGTCATCTCTTTCTGGTCTGCCATGCAGAGTATGACCAGACACAGATGGGCCAGGATCTACACAACTGGACACAGCAGAGACAGCGGTGCGAACATGAGGAGTATGATGACCGGCGGCAGAGACCAGGCAGCACTCACGCAGTCCGCGGCTGGCCACGGGCATATGCAAGCTAGTGTCTGAGGCAGGAACTGCAGTAATTGTCCTTCAACTCCCAGAACATAAGTCCTTGCTGGCCCCAAGGGCCGGTTATTTTGACACTATAACATAACATGTTCATGTACTTGTTCATCTGAGATGATGGCTTACAAATTCAATTTCTAGATGCACTGTGGCCCTATTAGAGCCTCCATAAGCAGAGGTTCAACTGAATCCAAGTTCAGGGCATCCTATGAAGATCCTGACCAAGAAAACACTCACCTCTACCCTCCTCCAAGTGGCCATGCCGGAGACCACCATCTGAAGGTAAGTGTGTTCAGCTGCCCACAAGACATCAAACACATGGGAATTCTCCACTTGGATCTGTCTTCAGTGAAAACTTCTATTCATCACTCTCAGGATTCTGGTTCAGTTCTAGGCTCCCATGAGGCTCAACTTCCTTGGACATCCTGCTCCCCTAAACTGTGTATTTGGGGATATTTTGGTCCCACCAGCCTTCAGTCCTGTTCTCTCCACCCTCAGCAAAAGAATTTGAGGGCCAGAGGAAGGACCTATTTACTCTTTGGCCCAGATGGTGCCCTTAACACCTCTACTCCAAAATATTGTCTCTTGGACCAATCCCTGGGCTCCAAGAACTTCAGCCCCAGGAAAATGGAACTCGGTCCCTGTGCCTGGCCCAACTTTCTCTATGTGCTCCTTGGTCTGGGCCCAAGGCAGTGGACTCCTGTTTTGCTGGGAGAGGCATTAAATATGCCCAAGGGCTTGGGCCTGCCATTCCCAAGGCAGGTACGTGCATTTTGCAGAGATGTGAGGTCCCCAGCAAGAGGTCCACAGCACTCCTGCAATCCTAGCTCCTCTGCTTTTCCCTCTTAAAAGGTTTCCAGGTAAGACAGGAACCTTGGCCTCACATCCAGGCTCTGACCCAGAAGCAATATTGGTGGCTCAGAGGGCAATATTTCCTAAGGACTGTAGGAAGTGAGTACATGAAGAAGAGTTTTCTAGACCAAACCTTGAGATCCAATAGTGAAATAACAAAAACCCCTCACTGGCCGGGCGCGGTGGCTCAAGCCTGTAATCCCAGCACTTTGGGAGGCCGAGGCGGGTGGATCACGAGGTCAACAGATCGAGACCATCTTGGTCAGCATGGTGAAACCCCGTCTCTACTAAAATTACAAAAAATTAGCTGGGCACGGTGGTGCATGCCTGTAATCCCAGCTGCTCAGGAGGCTGAGGCAGGAGAATTGCCTGAACCCAGGAGGCGGAGATTGCGGTGAGCCGAGATCGCGCCATTGCACTCCAGCCTGGTTAACAAGAGCGAAACTCCGTCTCAAAAAAAAAAAAAACCTCACTGTAATCAACTACTTAACAATAATAACAACAACGAACAGTGTTCTAATGTTATGTGACACTGTACTTTTGCAGCACTTTGGGACCACTGACAGCATCATACACGAGAAAGGGACTGTATCTCACCGAGAGAGAAGTGAAAGCTGTGTTAGATAACACAAAGACTCTCCTGTTGGTAACAAGCCACAGATCTTGGAGATGCCTAGAGACTCTAAATGAAATGATCTCATAAATAGGAAACAACATAACCATGTGGAATATTTTTCTTAAATCCACCACACAGGACTTATCTATGAAGATACACAAGACATGCACCAGTTCTTACAAGACTCAAGAATCTACTTGCCCCTGTCGAGTTGGGCTCAGAATCTCCTTTACACTGATCCAACAGAAATAAAATGTGCTATTTTGGAAATGCCTATCAAGATTTGAAATGAATCTCTCCTACGGTCAGCAAGTCTACTTATAGAAATATATCCAACAGATATCTGCAGCAACTTTGTTTACAGTAGCTAAAAGACTGCAAACAATCGATGTCCATCAACAGAAGACTTTAAATAAATTATGTGTCTAATGGACAAGTGTGATAATATGTGTAGCTATCTTCTTGTATATGCATAGAATATCTCTGAAAGAAGCCATTATCAGTAATAATAGCTGATATTAAGAGAGGATGGGGAAGGGTGCCTAGCCTAGAGGTCAGGAGTGGAAGTTTCTTTTCACTCTATTCCCCTTCACAGTCTGAATATCTTACCATGTTCATAAATAACCTACTCACAAAATAACTTCTTAAGGGAAAAAATACAATCTGTGCTTGAAAGGAACAAGCCCACTAACTGTTTTGCTGAGTGTCAGAGAACAGAAGCTGTGAGTATCAACAAGGAGTCTAACAGGCAGACACCAGTCAAGAAATAGCTACCTCGTTAGCACGAGCCTCTAAAAACACCTGCTGCCCTTCTGTCACAGGAAACATCCCCACCATGAGAACTCTTTTTCAATACGGTCTTCAATATCCAGAGCAATAGATTTAAGCAAAAGCTAAAACTGAGTGGAGAGGAAGCAGCAAATATCCCATCATCAACACTGAAAACCCTGCCTCTGCTGCATGACGCTGGCAAGGGAGGGAGTGCCTGCCTGGACCCCAGAGTCCTTTTCAGGTGCCAAATGTTCTAAAACCTTTCTCCTCAAGCTGCAGAATCTCCTGAATGCTTCCCAGAAGAGCATCTGACATGACCTCATGGAACTCTGCATCACTTCATCAAGGACTACATGTTTTTATTTCACTTGCCAGTTCCTTGGCTTAAGGTGGGAAGAATCCTTTGGCCAACTTGATTTCTGCAGCCAAGGTTCTTTGTCCCCCGTCTTCTTGGTAGCCCAGTTCCTCCCTTGAATCACACCTACACCAATACTATGGCTGCTCCAACACACCTCTGGTCTCCTGTTGCTGGCTAGCATGGTCCTGTAAGAATCCCAGAGCCAACTCGATCTTCTAGCATGCAGTGGCTCAGACATCCCTCTTCCTGATGATGAGCCACAGCTCAGGTAGCCTTGCCTCACCACCTGTATCCGACAGGTGATCACCTGCTGAAAGCGCCACTTCCCTGATGCTGAAAACTTTACTACCACAAGATGAAAGGAACACTGTTCAAAGAGTTTGAACATTCATGAAATATGACTCAGGCCTCGAGCAAAGCAGAGTCCTAGAATAGGCAAGTCCCATAAAATCAATTACCTCCCAAAAGCTCAAGAGGAGAGGCACGATTTGACCACATAGCCTTGGAAGACAGGACTGGCCATGATTTGGATCCAAAAAAGTGACCTGCATTGTAAGTTAGCGATCTTGTTCGGGAGAAGGAGTTTGCTACATTCTCCTCCTTTTCCTTTCCAAAGGAAGAATTTGGCGTCTGGAATCTAGATAACAGCAGGGCAGGGCAGTGTGTAAGACAGACCTCAGAGAAGAAATGAGCTTACCTCTTAGGAGCATGATGTTGCCTGCCCACCTGAAGACTTTCCCCTCTCCCAACTTTCCCAGCTAAAATTTCAGGTATGACAGATGCAGAGTTGACTGCATTTTTGCTCAGTGATGCATTTATATTAAGGAAAAATCCTGAGTGAGAACCATGCCTTTAGATAATATCAAGCAGGATTCTTGTGTCCATGGAGTGGGAAGAGGAAAGGGAAGGAAAGGCAACTGGCTCAAACGCATGGTTCACACTGACACATGCATCGCAGACCTCAAAATAATATGCTGAGTGAAAGAAGCCAGACCAAAAAAGAAAGCATGCTTTAAGATTACAATTCTATGAAACACTAGAAAATGCAATCCAATATATCATGGCAGAAAGCAACAGATCAGTGGTTGCTTGAGGCTGAGGAGCAAGGAGGGGTAGGAGGGAGGGATGACAGAGAGGTACGTGGAAACTTTGGGGGCTGGTGGCTGTTTACACAATCTTAATTGTGGTGGTAAATCCACAGCTGGATTTAGGTGTATGTCAAAGCATATCAAATTGTACATGTTAACTACGTGCAGTTCGTTGTATGATAAACTCCAGTAAAGGTAACTTTTAAGAAAGACCACTGTTCAAGCTTAAAAACAACCCAAAAAACCTAAGATTGAAATCCTCCCCAAAAGTCAACCTGGCTATCCAGGTTCTTTGATATGATGTAACCCACCAGCCATGACTGACCATGAACCAGCCCAAGGAAAAGTTGATGGAAAAAAAAAAAAAAAAAAAACGCTATAGCCAAACACCCCCATCCCATGCCAGACACTGCCCAAATACCTGCCTTCTGCTACAGGAAAGGGGCTGCTTCTGACAGCTCGGATCCACAAACAAAGCGTGAACTTAGTGGCCAGTTTCCATGTGACCTATATTCCACTGGCCACCTCAACACTCCCCAGTAATAGCTGGGAGAGGCCCCCACCTCCCACTCAGTTAATGACCCAGTCAGAGCTGGAGCAAGACAGGAAGAAGAAGAGACAAAGAGGATGTTCTCCTCCTGCCTCCAGAGATATTACAACAACTCATAATCATTGGTGTCCAGCCCAAGTCAGACAGAAGGAACTGGGCAGAATGTACCCATGAGGGTGAAAAATCAGAAAGATGCCAAAAAGACGTGTATGCCACAGGATCCAAAGAGGACTTGCTTCAGGGCTTCCTGGGCTTCTGCCCTACCTGCTAGAAGGATGGAGTGGCAGGAAAAACAACTTTCCTAGGCATGTCAAACTGTTTCCACAGCCTTGAGTCATAGCTCCTTATTCTCTGTTGCCATTCCACACCACTCCAACGGCCCCAGACTGACTCCCAGTGTGGCCACCCCACCTACATGGGGACACGGTTACCTCACCTCAGAGAAGCTCAGGCTTCTTCCCAGCTAGGTCAGATACTCCACCTCTGTCCCACCACACAACAGCAAACACTCGGCCTCCTTCCCATACCTTTTCCTGGGGACTTTTCGAATGTGCCATCAGCCCATCTCTAGTTCATAGTGCTGCCCCAAAAAAGTGACCTGCACAGACTCCTATATCCCTGATTAACAATGGGCCTGCAACCGCTAGCCTTTCTCTGGGGAGCTTGAGCGCCTTGCTATTCTGCTGCATGCAGGAGGATCTGCTGCCGCTGCCCTGAGTAATTCTTCTGGGGTTTGCATAAGCTTTGCACAGAGAGGAAAGCTGAGCATCCCACAGGAGCCAGGGCCCGTCAGAGAGGAATGGTTTAGAGATCTTGAGCAGGACAGAAAACATCTTGGGAACAACTGGAGAAATGAAATGCCTGAAGTTTTCTGGGCCCCAGAATGAGAAGAAACCCATATCCTTCTCCCAAACAATATTATGACATCCTCACTATCTCAGAAACAAGAATCAAGTCTTGACAAGGTATAAACATAGAGTTGTCAATGTGTTCTCGTGGCATCAAAAGATTTCCAGATATTTATCTCTATCAAAAACTTTCCAATCTCCCAGGGGAAGTTTAGAGAAACTAAGAAGGGGAATAAAAAAGAAGCAAATGACAAAGCTGAGCGGTGTAGTGACTGCCACCAGTTCCAACCATTCAGCTCATTTGATACTGCCGGTCTGCTTCCCACTGGAGGTTTTGAATATGGAAAATGCTGACCTGAAAGATAGGGTCAGGGCTGTAAGATCCTTAAAATAGGCACAATCTAGAAAAACTCTGGGCTAGGGCACCCAGTAAACTTTTTCACAGGCCGTGGGCAAATCGCGGTATCACTGAAGTCACCCATTTGCCATAAACATTTTGTAAAAGGAGGAGAGGAAACTGTGAGCTGGTAACAGGTGAATGGTGGGAAAGTGGAGAGAGACGACCTATCAGTCCTCGAACTGTGCAAATAAATCATGGTCCAGGATCTTGGAGGCCCATGGACAGCGTTCTTATGACCCTGCCAGGCGTGCTGGCTCGACCATAGTTTCGAGGCTGGAACGCCGGCCTCTGCGGAATAAGGCGCCTACCAGAAGCTTGGGGGGGAAAAGGGGGCCTGGGGCCAGAGCAGAGGGACCTTTCCGCAGAGCTGTGGGGACAGGGCTTGACGGCGGGAGGGCTGGGGTTGTGCACGAGGGGCAGAGCCGGGAATCACAGGCACAGCGGGGTGGGCGGCTCGGGGCACAATCACTAGCTCCCGAGGGCACGCCGGGTGTCGCCCAGAGGCCTGGATCGAGAGGCAGGAGCAGAGTGTATGGAGGAGCCGCAGTGGAACTCGGGGGTGTTGGGGAGCTCCCAGAAAGAAGCGGCTGGGGCTGCTTCCCTCGGGAACTTGGGATTTGACGGTCGCGGGAGGCGAGAACCCGAGGTGCGGAGGGCTGGGTAATGCGGGGTCTGGCAGGTGCTTCGCGGGGCTCTCTCTCACCTGCGGAGCACCAGGAAGCTCAAGATGACCAGAAGCAGGAGGCCCAGCGTGCGGCCCGGCCTCCGCCGGAGGCTCCACGTGGTCATCGCCTGTTCTCTGCTCTCCTGGACCAGTGTTCCCACTCCAGCCAGCACTCAGCCGCGCGCGGGAGCCTAGCGCGGGGGGGCGGGGCCGCGCGCTGGTAGCCTGGGCAACCGGCCCGCCGGCTCTCATTGGCTGGGGCTCGCGGCTCCGCTCTTCCAACCCTAGGCCCTGCGCAAGCAGGGGCGGGGCGGGGCGGGGCGGGGCCTCTTCTGGGGGCGGGGCAGGGCTGGCAGGCTGGGACGAGGTCTCGGTAGGGGAGGAGGTAGCGGGGGCTGGGCTAATGGAAGCGGGGCCTCATCAGGGGACGGGGCGGGGCTGGCGGGGACAGGACCTCGGTAGGAGGCGGGGATGGGGCGGGGACAAGGTCTCAGTAGGGGAGGGGTCTGGAGGGAGCCTGTCCCGGGCCTGCCACGGGTCCCCAGTGTCGCGGCGCCGCGCGGAGTCCGCGGTCTTCCTGCGCGCGTTGGGCAAGCAGGTGCGGGAATGTTGCACCCTAGCTGCCCGGCGCCTGCGTACCGGTCAAACGCCGAGGTAAAGTCACCGCTACTTCAGGAAGGACGAACAAAACGCGTCCGCAAAGCCGGGGCAACCAACAGAATCTTTTAAAACAATTCAGAATCTGAAGCAAACAACTTTTTGAAGTAACAGATCATCCTGTGAAAAGCCGGGATTTTGAAGAACTGTATTTGGACACATTTCAATGTGGTTCATGTGTGAGTAGGAGGAGTCCAAATATTTTCTGTCAGGTTTCCGCGAGTCTCACTCTGGCCTTGACAACAAGCACTTCCAATTTTTTATTTTAAAAAGGTCCATATAAAACCCTCACATTTTAGGAAAGGAAAAATATAATTCTTATTCTGAAACAGAATTTATGTCCCAAAGAACATTATGTAGTATTTAGGTGCAACTGACACTTTGTAGCAATCACAAACCCAGCTCTTCCCTGAAACAAAATTCAGATTTTACTGAAAGAAACTCGTGGAAAGCCAGTGTTTTCCAGAGCGTCCGGGTTTGTGGAACGTCTCCCTTGCCGCATGCTTTGAATTCATTTTCTAAACGCGGGCATAGTTTTGAACTTGGAAAGCCGACAGGAACCAAATGAAATTGTGGATCTTGGAACGAAGACACACACTTGGGTGTGAAGGGTCCTTTGTCTAGCATTAAGCACATATCAAGTCAGGACGCCTCCAAGCCAGCTCCTTTTCCCCATTGGCAAGGCTCTGATTGCTTGATGGCTATGAAGTCTATAAGAAAACATGTTGGTTTAATTAGAATACCAGCTAGCCCCTAAGCATGCGGAGAAATTGTCAAAGCCTAGGGCCTTTGCCTGCAGGGGACCATCCGAAAGACACGCACCCCACATTCATCCTCTCGCTTCTGGTCACGTTGAGCAGTAGCAGAATCTATCAAATATGAGGGAATCCTCAAATGGTTTAAGCAATACAAGCATCTCCATTTTTCTTCAAATGTTAGCAAAAACTTAACATGGGTTCTAAAAACGGTGAACTCCTTGGCCGAACCCTATGTCCTTTGATTTTATTTGTGTGAGAAAAATATACACAGCTGAGTGTTTTCAAAAAATTTCCCCTTAACCTTGTGGGAAGTTCAGAACTAGGGACACACCCTGCTCACAGTCAAGGAACAATTTTACTTTATCTGTGCTTAATGATGCCAGAGAGTGCTACAAAGGTAGCACTAACCCAAGATGTTTCTTGCTGAGAAGCTGAGACTTTTTTTTTTTTCAGACAGAGTCTCACTCTGTTGCCCAGGATGAAGTGCAGTGGTGCAGTCTTGGCTCACTGCAATCTCTGCCTCCCGGGATCAAGCAATTCTCCTGCCTCAGCCTCCTGAGTAGCTGGGACTATAGGCACCCACCACCGTGCTCTGCTAATTTTTGTATTTTTAGTAGAGATGGGGTTTCACCATGTTGGCCAGGCTGGACACAAACTCCTGACCTCAAATGATCTGCCTGCCTCAGCCTCCCAAAGTGCCAGGATTACAGGCATGAGCTAACATTCCCATCCTGAGACTTTTGTTTTTTTAAACATTAGCAAGATACTCATTCAGTGTCCCCTTTCCAAAATGTTTAGTGATCTTAACCCAAAGCAGACAGTGAAAATAGTCAAATCCCTGGGAACAAAAGCTACAGTTACAATGTACTGACATTAGAGTGATGTCACAAAGTGGTCTGGCAAAGTGCTTGGCTTGGCAATGAATCCCTGGTACACAGGAGTCATCCTCTTTCCAGGCCTTCTTTCTAGTGTTCAGGGTTTAGAAAATATATGAAGTGCTTTTAAAAAAAATTAAATCCTGTTGGTATGCCACGCCATTGCTCTAAGTCAGAGCTCCAACAGACTCAGAGGGCATAGTTTCTTCCTTGAAAATTTCTATGTCACACATAATCAGTGGGAAACAGAAACACACACAAAATACACACACACAGGAGAATCAAAACCACTTTCATTCAGGGTCAGTATAGTGAAGTCATGAGAGAAAAGCGATCATATCAAACTAATCTCGTTTGCTGTTTCACTTTTTATTTTTAGTAGGTAACAGGTTTACTGATCAGTTATTCATTCACATAACTCATTTTTGTGGGCATTCTGCTAACGCTTTAAATATAGTATATCTGAATTTTAGGAAAACACTGGCAACATTTCTTTCAGTCATGAGAATAAGATGAAAATGTGGCCTTCTATGATACTACAGTCACTTGGGCTCCTGGACCAAGATATAACACTCTCCTCCCCACCTCCTCATATGGAGAGACACCTCTGGCCAGCACTCCCCATCCACCCTCCACTCAGGAGGAGCAAAGTCCAGTTACGATGTCAAGTTGCCAGGAGTGTTGAACAAATAAATTAAGAACACAGGGGAATTCCTGGGAATAAAAGAGGGCCATTTCAACCCTAGACAAAAGAAAATAACAAGTCCTGGAATGGAGCTTTGGTCTTGGAAAAAGTAAAGAGACGGCCAATCTAAGCTAAGGGAAGTAGACAAAGTTTTGGATCCCCAAGGATGTGTGAGTGGGACTGAAAGGGGCCTGTGCACTTCGGGTAGGAATGCACAGAACTTGATCGTTAGCTATAGCAGGCCTCGACTTTCACTTTTCAGGCTCAGCCTTTGAAGGCCTAACAGCCAGTGATCTAATTCTACCACATTTATGTATTAAAAAGTAACTGACAAATTGTAATGACCATAATCAACATGCTGAATGCTGTTTCACACGCTTGGGATATATTAGTGGACAAAACAAAGATCTCTTCTCTTTGAAACTTCTGTTCTAGCTAGAGAAGAAAGACAACAAAAATTAACAGAATGAATAAGTAAACTGTGGAGTATATTCAAAGATAATGAACTCCATTGCAAAAATTAAAAAAGTAATAAGGTGGCTGGGCGCAGTGGCTCACGCCTGTGATCTTAGCACTGTGGGAGGCCGAGGCGGGCAGATCACTTGAGGTCAGGAGTTCAAGACCAGCCTGGCTAACATGGTGAAACCCCGTCTCTACTAAAAATACAAAATTTAGACAGAAATTGCTTGAACCCTGGAGGCAGAGGTTGCAGTGAGCCAAGATCATGCCACTGCACTTCAGCCTGGGCAACAGAGCAAGACTCTGTCTTAAAAAAAAAAAAAAAGTAGTAAGGGAAGGAGGACTGAGAATGCGGTGGGGAGGGTGTGCAGAAAGGAGGTCTCCCTGGAAAGATATTAGCTGAACAAGGATCTGAACACAATGGGAGTTCTCCATGCAAGCAAATCAATATCTAACCTGGAGGAGGCACTGCCCAAGCAGAGAGAACAGCTTGTACCAATGCCCTCAGGAAAGACCATGACCTGGTGTCCTCCTAAAAGCTAGGGGGACAATGTGGGAGGTGATGGTGAGAAGGCAGGAGATGAGGAGAGATGCAGGGGCCTGGTCATGCAGGGCCTTTAAGAGCAGGGCT